GACACTTACTACTAACAATTTAGACCGGAATATGAAAATTCAGATTACCACGAGATTATTAAAAAAAAAAATCACGAGACGATGAAAATTGGCGAGTGGCGAGAATTGTTTCCAATATTTCCCACTGTGATGTCATTGGATTGTGATTTCCCTGTTCGAATTTCGCAGCGTTCGGAAAACTTTTCAGTTCTCCGAACGTTTTCCCTCTAGTATCGACAGCTACATTTACTCATAGGGGTTCTGTTGACAACTTCGTAGGTCTTATTCGAAAACGGAACCTACCCTGAATCATATAGAAATTAAAACAAAATTGTTGACTTTTGTCTATTGGTGGGACATCAGTAGCGCAACCAGGAATAGTGTAAAAGTAGTAAGTAAAAAAAAAACAAGCGTCTGTAATAACCTACAAGACTTTTTTTTGTTGGATTGGGAATATATTTTCACGTCGGCTGGAAGGCTAGAGAAGAGGGCGTGACCCCTCGGCCTAACTTCTGGCTCTGGATATTATTTTATTATTCGAATCGCACAAATAAGGTTTATCTAATTTTAAAGCCGTAAATCATTGGCTAAGCCCATCAGAACGCGTTCTTCTAACATTGCGGACAACTTTCGAAGGCACGATCTAGTTGCCGGGTCGACCTTATTCAAAATCACTATCATTTGTTACAAATTTATCTGTGGCGGAATTTCTGGACGATCATTAACCCTGGATGCCTAACCACCATGCAGATACGGCCGCGATTGTTTGCACGTTCGGCCGAAATGAGCCAGCAACAAAACATATTTATTATTGTTGTTTATCTAGGCCGGGCGACCACGGAGTCCACTGGTGGGTATTATGAAAGATTCCGGATAAAACGAGGATATATCACGTAAATACTCATTTTGTCGGTGCAGTCTAGATATGCTGTTTACTTTACAGCTAGTTATTTGCGTGAACGGTTATCGGGATTGCGAGTTAGTTGTAATGCTGAAGAAAAAAATTTTAATAATGAGATGTTTTCCAACTTTTTAACTACGTCACAAAATGAAAATAGGTTTAAAAATATGAGAACCGTATAGTTTTTAATTTTTTTTTCATTTTTGACATCATGTAAGACCTAAAAAATAAAAATATACGTGGTGACGTCATTAAAGGAACATTTTTTTAGAACATATAGTCTACTGCAGTGTCAATACCTATTTACGCAACTCCTTCAGTGCTGTCATATTTATCCACTAAACTAACAAATACAAAGATAGAATTGAAAAGAACGCAATAAATAAGAGAAAAGAACGCAATAGGCCGGGTTGTCTTTTATGTAATTTTATTCAAACAAAACGTGACACAACAGTTGCCTGCCTTCTTATAACTGCACTCTTTACATTATAAGATTATACAGGGTGTTTATTAAGTACTTGTATAAACTTTAAAGGGTGAATTTTTGACTAATTTTAAGTTGAAAAGTTCATATGAACATGAGCCCGCAACGGCTTGGTTTCTGAGATATAAGAGGTCCAAAAAAAAAATTTGTTTGATATTTTGATTATATTTTGGTTCAATAACATGTCAGTTTAACGACATTCGAGAAACTGGGAGTATTGATGATGAGAAACTGAAATATTTACTTAGTTTTTTGTTTAATGTTAGAGAGCGACACATACAGTGTTGTACTTGAATTTAAATAAATAACCATAACTTTTTTGTGTCGCACTCTATGTCATTTTTAACTAAATACCTATTCTTCATTCAATTTTACGTACAAAAGGTACTCTTAGTACTTGTCTCTGAAAGCAGCCGTTTTGTAAAAAACTTGCGTTGGAATTTTGTAAGTTGAATCATTAAGAGTTTTTGAAAAACAAGTGAAAAAGAGTCATTTGCTATGTTACAATTTACTATCACCAAATTAGTGAATATTAGAAAAAATAAAAATTCGCAAATACAAAATTATAATCAAAATGCTAAACACAAATTTTTGTTTGGATGCCCTGTATATCAAGAACCCGTTGCGGACCCATGTTCATAAGAACTTTTTATCTTAAAATTAGTCAAAGATTCACCCTTTAAAGTTTGTATAAGTACTTAATAAACACCCTGTATGTAAGTATTTGCGTAATAGTATGAAACAAAAAGGGACAGTGTCTATTTTTCTATACTAAACGCTGGACATGGAATTTACCATAAAATATATAAATATTGTACATAATAAAAGTACCAGCGAAAGTTAACAAAATAAAAATTTCTTACTCATAAGGAAAATGAATGTAGAAAATTTGGTCCGCCATCTTGGATCCCCATCTTTAATTTTGCAAAATTGACCTCGAACTCGTGATCAGCAACCCCGAAAACCCCCTTGAACCACATTTGGCGCGAATCTGTTATTTTTTGAGAATTTGGTAGGCCATCTTGGATCCGCCATCGTGAATATTGCAAAATTGACATCGGATCAGTGACCCCGAAAATCTCCGTATGTCATATTTTGGCGCGAATCTGTTATTTTCTGAAAATTCGTAATATCTGACCTTAATTGACCCGTTTTTTTTGAGGTTAGAATTTTGATGCTTAGCTTGGTCGAGTATACGGCACGTGTTTTTATGATAGTCAATAGCATTGTGTATTGACGGATTGACCACAGATTTAGCCGATTTCTGCTACTACAACGCGTATTGACACTTACTACTAACAATTTCGGTTACTACTGTTTATTTATTTATTAGAAACCTTTTGCATACCTTGTATTTTTGATAAAATTTTTTACATAAAATGTTTGAAGTATTTTAATACCACGGGAGCTAATGTTTTTCTTAAGAACTACTTTGTTGTACCTTTTTATTCCTCTTACAATTGTTTACTATGAAACGGTATATTATCCTACTGCCTCATGTTATTGCATTTTTTCGGATTCAATCTTAAAATCTACTCACGTTCACGTGAAGTTGGAACTAAAGACTTTGTCACTGCTTCGTATTCATGGTATCGTAATAAGGACTGAAAATATTTGAACACTGGGAATTCTTTTAGATAACTATTTAATAAATTAATCACATTTAAATGTAAATAATTGAACTGCTCGAAGAAACAATTATAAATTTTCCACGCGCAACAGAGTTGGTTTAGGGTAGTGTAAATATTGTAAATAACATGAAATTATAATTAAATTTTATTGTGTTGGCATACTAATTAACGTCGGATTTAATCCATTGTCATAGGGATTTACAAAAATGTATATATTATTAGCATTAGCAATGCTTAGGCAACCAAGAAGGGAATAAGAGATGACAGCACAAATTTCCAAAATATGTAATTCACACCTAGAATTATATAAAGATCAAACCAATGCAAATGTAAAATTATGATTGTCAGAAGATGTAAATACAGGCCAAAGTATCACCAAAACTTAAAAGTTTTATGACATCTAAATAAATACCTTCTGCATAAATAGGATAATGGCTTCAAATCTAGGAAATATACAAAATAATAAAAACTAGGAGATGCAAGAAGAAATAGAGGTATATAAAGTATAAACTATTTTCATTTCACTGTTTTATTTGTTTTTTTTACAGTTCTGGACCTTACTTCTTGGACTTTCATATTAAAACTTTCATGGCGAAATCTTGAATTTATCGTCGTCAATAAAACCATTCAAAATTTTTACTTGTTTGCAGACACTTAGATATGAATAATTATGTTTATATACTATCGGAACAACAATTACTTATTATTATTACTTCTCTGTACCATTAAATTCAAAATATAGAAGTAAACAATGGTGTTTGTACTGTTTGTTTATGTCTTCGGTTATTCAGAATTCGAAGAAAAGTAACTATAAGGTAGTACTATGAATTATTTAATCGGAATCTCTACAGCTATAAAAATAGGATGAACAAACGATTACAACTTAAAAGAAATGTGTCCTTTTAAATTTTATCTGTGTTTATCCATAGCATTATAAAGGCGACTTATTTCAAATTTTCTTTATTATTTAGATAGGTACCTATACAATTTAAAGCAACTTCGCAAATTATTGATGAAAATATGACAGCTCCACAACGAAATATTATTCTATCTCAACTACCTGGGTACTTACGAGATGTTAAATATTTATATTTATTTATGATATCACAAAATAAATAATAAAGTTACGTCGTATTTCTCTCATTGACGGTTATCTTTTTTAGAAAAACGAGACTAACTGGTACTGATGATACTGATGGATTTGGAAAATTCACAAAAGTTTTTTAAACATGTATATCAATGCTTCTTGAATTTTGTTGCTTGTTGTGACATCTAGTAGACAATAGGACGTTATTTAAAAATTTAACTATAGATAACTATAATCATGAGTACTGTCACCATCTAGTAGACAATATCCAAACTAATACAATTTTATATTTTGGTTTGCGAACAAGCTTGATGATAACCTAAAATAAAAAGTACTTAATTTAACATTTTCTTAAAAATATGGGAGAGAACGAAAATTTACAATTTAAAGGCGGTAATCCAGGCGCTGTTCAGTTTGGAAATTTCATAAATTATTATCAGTTCCATCCTCCAGAAGAAAGAATAAATCTGTTACCAAAGAACGTATGGAAAGGTGACCAGCCTTGTATAGCACTGGACGTCGGATGTAACGCAGGAGTAAATAAAATAATCCAATTTGTAACAATAAGAATTTTTTGATAAACATACATATTTTCCTTTTAGAATTTAACCGCTGCGCTGTACGATTTCATAAGCAGCAACATAACAAAGGATTGCAGTATTTTAGGAATCGACATTGACCCAGTTTTGATAAGGCGTGCTGAAGACACAAACAATAGTGATAAACTGACATATAAATGTTTAGACTTTATGGACGAAAACAGTCGAACGGAGATTATAACAAGTTATCTGAAATCCAAAGGAGTGGATAAATTTAATATCGTGTTTTGTTTTTCTACCACGATGTGGATACATTTAAATAACGGTGATGTGGGGTTAAGAAAATTTTTGAAAGAAGTATCTAATATTTGTGAATTGTTGGTAATAGAGCCACAACCATGGAAGTGTTACAAAACTGCAGTGAAAAGAATGAAGCAAAATAATTTCACCTTTCCTTTGTTTTGCGAGTTAAGAATTAGGAAAAATGTAGAGGATGAAATTGAACAATATTTGACGCTTGAGTGTGGTTTGTCTAAAGTTGCCGAAAGCAATAGGACTAAGTGGGATAGAAAGTTATTAATTTTCCAAAGATAACGACAATTAGAAAGAAATATAAGTAAGGTCACTGCTCACGCTTTTGACTGTTTAGTAAATTTTTTTAAACTTTCACAACTTCATCAGTAATTATTTTCATTAAATATAAAAATAATTTTGTATTTAAATAAAAAAAATAATTGGCAACTAATTTTTACCTGTTTTCAATTAACTGCTGTTTGACTTCTACCATAAATAATATTACCGTTTTCGACCACTCCTAATATTGCATAATTTTAATTGACAACAGTTGCTCACACCTGAATTAAACGTTGAAAATACAATCGCAAAACTAGCAACACAGTAAAACTTCAAGAATATCTTTGAAATACAGAATAAATGTCATTTTTTTAATTTTTCCCGTCATCAATAATTTGGTTAGTTTTTAAAGGGCATTTTACCTACCCGATAAACCCCATACAGTTAATTGAGATTCTATTGCACAATGAACCATTAAAATGGAAAGAAAGTAATAAAAATTGATACAAATACCAATATTTTACAAAACACGAATCTTTATTGGGTAATTAAAAACATTACAATAATATATTGTACTTAATCTGCTTAAATGTCGATAATTTAACATTAAATTTATATACATAACCTTACACCGATTTTTTACGATGACACCTCTTCATTTCCACCATCAAATTCCAACTTGACTTCTTCATGTAACCCTTCAACGTCTACCTCGGATTCAGCAGCGTTTAGCATATTTAAAGTAACTTCCGACTTTATCATGGGCTGTTGCTGAACGTTTTGCTGCTGAGCAGGTTGTGCGACCGTACTAATTTGTCGTACCGGTAAACCAGCATCCTCAAATGCTTTTTTCTTTAAAGCCGTCCTAATTTGGGATCTAACATTATTAAGAATGGTATTAGTTTGATGTAAACTCTGAAGAAATTGGGATAATGCTGACTTACACTGTTCTCCGCTTAATGTGTTCACTAATTTGATTTAAACCTTCAGAAAATTGCTTAACTACTTGTCTTAGCATCTCAATTTCTTCATCAGTCCATTTTCTAAACAGATAAAGACTGTTGGCTAGTTTTAATTGCCTTTTTATTATTTACTTACCCTGTTGGAGATTCAGCATTTGGATGTAACTGCATAGTTAAGTCTCCTAATCGATTAAATGCTTGTCCAGCTGCTGTGAAAATCTCGCCAACCTGCACATAAGAATTTAACTAATACATGAATTTATTAGTAAAGACATAAATGCTTACCTTACTCGCTGAACTCATTTTGTTTTTTGAATCTATTTACAATAACTAACAATCACAAAGAAACATAACCTATAAAATGTACACAATACACATCAAAACCAATATGAAGTTGGGCGCACGCAAGTTCGAAATTTTTGGACTGCGTTCGATAATTTACTCTACGGAGGCTGGTTCTATTTAAAATATTTGACTGGTTTCTATGATTGAAAATAATAATACATAAAATTTCAATGTTACACATCTGCCAATTCCTTCTGCACCATTTGTCTACTTTTACTAATGAAAAAATTTATATACATAGATTTATGGCGGTCGTTGCACTTTTCTGCTGGAATCAATGTATAAATTTGAAAGCGTTGAACACACTCAAAATTAACTCGTCTCGTATGATAAATTACGTCACGGGCGGGTATTCTTTCTTAACACAAAATAATGTAATCTCTAATAAAGTGTTCCCTAAAATTAGTGGATTTTAATTTAATTTATTGATCACTGTAAAGTAATTATTTCGATAAAAAAAAATTGCAGGTTTAAGATACATATCTTTGTGAAAAATGGAGGGCGGACCAAATATACAAGAGAGAGATTCAACACCTTTAGTGTCAGAAAATGATGAAGAAAATGAAGTTAAAGGGTGTTTTAGCTTTTTCTGCCACCCTCGAGGATCAGGGCACAGATTTATTGCCTTGATTTTTATGTGTTTTCTTGGTTTTGGTAAGTGTTTTTAGGTTATATATTTTTTTATTTTTTGACAATCAGCTGTTTTTAAAAAATCCCAGCAAATGAAATCAGAAACATTTATTTTATTTGTTTATATTCTTTGTTTACAGAATTTCTGTAACATGTTACAGTGTAATTTCCTTATTATTATGGAATAATGAAGATAAGTTGTTTGCTTGTAAATTCTTTGTTTTGTCTAAACTTTGACCTCACCTAAAAATAATTATTTACAGTTTCTTTGTAATAATAAAATAAATAAAATGCGTATTGTTAAATGCGTATTAGGAAAAATTTTTCTGTACCTAATTAAGTGCCTTAAAAAATGGGTTCAAGATAATCCAAAAAATTCACAAAAGATTAAATTATTGAATTATTACAGATATAAAACAAACAAAACAAAATATTTTAGAATTTTTCTTGGAAAGTTAAAATGAAAAAAAAAATGCTTTGTGAATAAAATATTGGTTCTACAGGGTGTCGCACTTAAATGTGATACAAGCTTGTACATCTTTATTTTTCGGTCAATTTCAAAAAATTTTTTTTAGAAAGTAGGGTAAAAAAACCTCTACCTAACTGTGATACTGCTGTTTTTATTAATGCAATTAACTAGGACGCGTTTTTTTGACGTCAAAACAGCTAATTGGTATTAGTAATTTTTTTTTCCAAAAAAACAAATTACACACTCATTCAGCATTTTTGAAATCGGCTAAAAAATTAAGAAGTTACAGGCTTGTATTACATTTAAGCGCGACACCCTGTATATTTATCATAATCAACATTTGTTAGTAACATTAAAATCTTTTGCACTAAAAGGTCGAGGAAAGTTGTGATTAAAAAATGAATTTATTTTAGGATCGTACTTTTGCTATGACAACCCCGCAGCTTTGCAAGGGCACATTACGAAAGATCTCAACATATCTATTCTTCAGTGTAACATGTTTTACTCATTTTACTCATGGCCCAATGTGATATTATGTTTTATAGGCGGCTTTTTAATAGACAGGTATGGCCAAGGTCTGCGACAAATTAAATTTATTACCCTCTGAAATTTCTTTCAGGGTTTTTGGTATTCGTTTGGGTACAAATATATACATGGCGATAACGCTAATAGGTCAAATAGTATTTGCTTTAGGAGTATACTGCAATCAATTCTGGTTGATGTTATGTGGAAGATTTATTTTTGGGTAATAAGTAATTATGATTATATTTTATTGTATTTAAATTTTTTTCAAAATATTGTAGTATTGGTGGTGAATCTTTAGCTGTTGCTCAAAATAATTATGCAGTTTTATGGTTCAAAGGCAAGGAATTAAATATGGTTTTTGGGCTGCAACTGAGCTTTGCACGAGTTGGAAGTACCGCTAATTTCTTAGTTATGGAAAGCATCTATAATTGGGTACATCAAAGCTATACCGGGCCACAAGGTCTTGGGATTGTCTTTTTCATAGGTATGACAGTGTCGAATATAAAATTGGAAAAAAACTTTGAATATTAATGTTTTTTAGCAACATCTACTTGTGTCCTTTCCATGTTCTGTGCCCTAATTTTGGGGGTATTGGACAAGAGAGCGGAAAGAATATTAAGAAGAAATGAGGAAGTTAGCGGCGATGTAGTTCGATTGACGGATGTCAAAGATTTTAAAGCGACATTTTGGTTGGTCACTGTAATATGCGTGACTTACTACGTCGCTATATTTCCATTCATATTTTTAGCGCAGTAAGTACCGGAGTTGCAACTTTTAAAATAAATTATAGTGAACATTTTTTTAGAGGGTTCTTTACCGAGAAATTTAAAATGACACAACAGGCAGCTAATAATATAAGCGGTATCGTCTACCTGATATCTGGTATAGCGTCGCCCCTCCTTGGCTTATTCATTGACAAGACGGGAAAAAATCTCTCTTGGATCGTAGTTGCTGTCATCTTCACCATTGGGTCCCACGTTTTGCTGGCTTTCACCATGGTTAATCCTTATGTAGCTATGGTAAGAAAATATTAGTAGTTAATTGTTTGCTTACTATTTTCAATTTTTTTTATATGGGTGTAAATTTAAGTGGCGGTCAATTTTTTTAGGAGTAATTCACCAGAATAGTAATCTAAAATTATTTTTTTAATCAAATGGATAATCGACTTGTACCTAAATCGTTTTTTAAACTACGCTTGAACTCTTGAGTATACCACGACTGGGCAACTCCCAATTTCCATTGTATGTGTGCGCTTATCGCTGTTGCCTGCTGTTAATTTTTAGAAAACATGTTTGTTTCATATTTATTATTTTTGCCGTTTTAAAATGAAAATAGAAATAAAAAGTAAATAGAGCTACCTACTAAACTGAGAGGTTTGAAATAGTATTTAAAATAATTTCCAATTTTTAATAAAAACTATTTATTACTTTTTTAGTGCACTGTGTTTAGTTTGTGAATTCACGTCTGTAACCTCTGACATTGCTGAATGTGATAGCACTACTGTGTTCTAGGAACTCAAAAAACAAATGCCCAACATTAATTTGACAAAATGATAATGGCCGAATATGTTGCCGCTTCACTTTATTACATTTATTTGTGTTTTGAGTTTATTGGTTTATGAGAAGATATTCACTCCAATGTAATATGTAGCTAATTTTGCAACTTTCTTTATGAAATATTAGTTCTTACTGATTGTGTTTTATATAAGGTCTGTTCCAACAAGAGTCAGGGATTAGTTCCAAACCGTTCGAAATGTGCATCCAACTAATTCTAGCGATATATTCACTGAAGACACATTTAGAACTTAGCTGGCCAAACATTTCGAACGGTTTGGAACTAATCCCTGACTCTTGTTGGAACAGACCTATAATGTTAGTGTGTAACCTTTTAAAGTTATTTATTTTGGTGTTTAGTGACGGTGCAATGAGCTTGAATATTTTTAGTGTTAAATGTCTGTGTTATTATGAAAAAATATGAATACGAATAAAAAAAGATGGGATTTGACTACAATGCATGCTATAGCTTGATTGTTTGAGGTTAAACTAACCTGCGCGGCAGTGGGATATGAAAATGATCAAAATAGCTTTAAACAATTAAGTTTTTATGACAATTTGAGAAAACAAACTTATGCTTTGTATTTCTAAAGGCCAAAGGTAGTGTCCATATGACCCCCATTTAAAATCTCACCCTGTATAGTAAATTATAAATGACACAGCAATTTTTTAGGTTATGATGGGACTAGCTTATTCTACGTTAGCTAGTAGTTTGTGGCCTCTAGTTTCATTGATTATTCCTGAATATCAGTTGGGTACAGCGTATGGAGTGTAAGTACCTCTAAACACCAAATTATTATTGTTATTAAAATATAAAACCAGTTTTACATTTACCAATTTTAAATTCAGTAATTCACTATACAGGGTGTAAGAAGTCTGACTGCCATTACTTCAGCATGAGATAGAGTAATCATAAATGAACAAAAAAGTTGTATATTACAGGAGCGTAAGATTAACAGTTTTCAAAATATAATGAGTATTAATATCGGGGAGTGCTTAACCTGCTGATGCACACCATGTGTACATGCGACAGACTTGTCCTACGGAAAAAATGTAAACAACTATTATTGTGAAACATTTAGTAAATTGTATCGATTTTGTGGTACGAAGATAGTGTTGTGCTTAAATTTTAACTCGAATTTTAGTAATTATGAATCTCTTAAAACAGGAACTTAACTTTTAATCAAATTGTAAATTTGAAAAATATATTATTAAAGTACCCAAAGATTCACATTGTCCAAATAATCATATGTATTAAATATAATTTAGGTACTTCCCAAAAAGCAAAATTCCTTAATTTTTAAACGCACAAGTACAAAATGAACTACAACATATGCTTAAAATGTCCACCACCATTTTCGATGCACGCACAACACCTTCGAATTCAATTTTTGCGCACTTGCTGGAAAACGCCTCAAAAAAAAGGAAATAGTGGTACGCAAAAAACACTCAGACACAGTCCAATTCCAGATACCAACTGAATTGCGTATTGGTGGTTGATGGACACCTTAGTACCTCGTGTTAATAAACTGGCGTGCCGTTGTGACATTGCTTGATATGAATTTTATCAAATTTTAAATTTATTACAACGCTAATTATTTTTAGAATTTAAGCATAAAGAAGGTATTCTATGCACGCAGTTATGTCAATATTTCTTAATTAATTGAACTTTTGTACATCAAGTTGGAGATTTTGATCATTTTTTTCTTGGAAATGGTTGAGCTTAGGACCCATGTCATATATGGTTTTTTTGTTTGTTTTAATATATTTTATCGTCTGTTAAAATTAAGGCAGTAAATCTTCTAACACCCTGTATTTGTAAGAACTTTTATCATGTTACTATAATTTAGCCAATTTATTTTTCTAATTCAGGACTATCGACTTTTATAATAAAATCCAATCATGATAAAAATAAACCACAAACTATAATAGACTACAGTTTGTTATTTCGATGTGTAAATAAATCAGCTTGGTCTGCTTGGTAACAGAGCGTGCAAATCTAATATCTTTTGCTGATTTATAAAGTAATAACATCGATAAAATATGTTTACGAATCAATTTTGTTTCTATCAGCATAAAAAACATTAAAAGTCAAAACAAATAAAATTTTTATTACAGCTGCCGTTCTGGGTATTTTTATTATATAACTACCAATATAACATGACAAAAACTAGTAAATGTAAAACATGTTTAACACTTCATATGTCTTTTTAAACCATTTTTGTGTAATTTTACATGTGTTGACTGCTATTTTAGCTGTCAAGCCATTCAGAACTTAGGACTTGCTGTAGTTTCTATCGTAACCGGAATCATCGTGCATCAATTGGGATATAATGCGTTAGAAATATTCTTCATAAGCAGCTTAGCAGGTAAGGTTCACAGTAAAAGGAACTTAAGATAAATGTCAGCAGATTGATTCAACGATAATTATTATTCTAGGAGCTCTATGTTTCACGATACTTTTATGGATATTGGACAAATATAGAAAGGGCTTACTAAATATGACGCCGGCCGATCGATTAAGACATCAACAATCTCAACTGTACGTAAAAATTGTTACAACAAAATTTATTTTCAACAATCAGGCAGTTGTAAACAGTAACAATCATGAAAATTGTTATTTTTAGGGCAGCTGAGGTTTTGGAAAGGGAAAAGATCCTTTCAGCGGCCTCGTCCAGTTCCACGACCGATTTGCTGCAGCCCAACTCCGATTTTCACATCCGCAATAGGTATTTATCAAGAATTGGCGCACCTGTAAGTTGACCAGTCTCCTCAAACTATTAATTATTATTTTTTACATATTTCCAGCTCCCCTCCAGTTACAATATAAACACTAAGGGTCTGCAGTACCGAGCGTTGCGATAAGGGAGAGGAATTTTGAAAAAAAAAATAAATATGTAAAAGTATTTGTATATGATCTGTGACGTTTTATAACCATGATATAAAGACTACTTTGACTCATCAGTATCTACAACCAAATTAGGTTAATGAAACTATACATTTTGACATTCTTCGTCTATTTTGACTGTTGTGGTGTGGTGACATAAAAATTGTAATATTTATGAAATAGATAATTTATTTGATTCAGTTTCCACTTGACGCTCAGTATAATGTCTAAATTTTGCCTGGTTCAATCAAGCATTTCTCTATTTTAAAGCTTTTAAAATGTCATAACACCATGTTCATTTTTTTCTAAATGCCGTCATCGTTGGTAAAAATTTATAATGTAAAAATCCAAATTCGATAAATTGCGATTTTTAACTTTTACACATCGTAATAAACATGCTCATCTATAAAGTAGTCGTAATCTTGCCAATGTTTCTTAATTATTTATACCATACGATTTATACATATTTGTAATTATAATAAAATTATATAGTGATTGATAATTAATTAGGATAATTACGCCATAGAGTAGATGAGAGGAAGATCAAACTATTATAAAAGATCTGTAGGTCATCCTTCCATATACTCTGTAGGAAAAAAAGAATATACACTAATGCAAAAAATTAAAGGGTCCAAAAAGAATTTCTGAAATTTTTCGATGATTTTTGACAGACTATTTAGGTGAAAAATGTCGTATCGGGAATTAAAAAAATGCATTTTGCGGCACTAAGATTCTAGTTTTTAGATCTTTCGGTAATTCCACGGACTTGGAAAAAATTTTTTCAGCTAAGCCATCGCATGAACCAGATAGCTTGTTTATTCAGCTTCAATTTCCTTTTTTTAAACTTCGATATGACCATTTTTTATCAAAATATCAAACTTTTAATGAAAAAGGATCCTTTTGTTTTCAATCATTGATATCTCGGCGACAAATGGTCGTACAGAGAATTGAAGGGCAGTTTCGAAAACTGGAATAAATTTTCTATAACATGCTGCCGTAACTTTTCGGAAGAAAATTTTTTTTTCATCTTTTACGCGAATTTAAAAAACAGGAGAAAGGGGAATTTATGATTTTTTAGGAAATTGACGGCTAAATTAGAAGTATTCGCGAAATGACTAATGTTAAAGCATGACTTTTACAGTTCGATATACCCAGAAGAACCCTGTGAAGTTTCATCTCGATCTAGCGAACCGTTTCGTTGTTTCAAATAGTGAAACTTTTGAAAAAATTAAAGGGTCACGTTTTTTGAGCTTAAATACTAATCATGACTAAAATGGAAAAACAAATTTTGTTTAGGTTTTCTCACATTTTTACCCAAATAACGTATAAATTGATTTTCGAAAAAAATTTTGAAATTTTTCGAATTTTTTTGTTTTTTTTTTAAAAACCTTCCAGACATTGAAGAAAACAAAATCCAATTGTTTCCAGCATGATTAGACTTTTAATTAAATTAAAATTAAAGTTGATGACCCAAACCAAATACTACCCTTTTTCTTCTCTGAAAAAAAATTTAATTTTTTTTTTTTTTTTTTCATCAATTTAAATGTTATTTGGGCCAAAATTGTGAGAAAACCTCAAAAACAATTTTTTTCCATTTTAATTATGATTATGAAGTGTTTATGCTCAAAAAACGTGACCCTTTAATTTTTTTCAAAAATTTAACTGTTAACGGTTATTCGATCGATTTTGGATAATTCAGATTTTTACGAAATATCCGATTATTCAAATAACCAATTCCTTTTTTTTTTAGACATCGATTTATTTGTTCGGTTACAATTGACCTTTTTTTTTTTGGAGATCGATTACAAAATTTTACTTCCGAGATTTTGTAGACCTTTTTTATTTTTTAGACATCAATTTCTCCGGGTCTGTCTTTACAAAGCACTGATTCTCAGATATCCTGTTTTGGCAATTCGAGTAATGGATTATTCGAATAACCGGTTTTAGCAACTATTCGACTAACCGGTTTTATCTGAAATCAGTTTTTACGCAACTCGGGTAACTGGTTTCACTTTTTTCCGGTTTTTGCCAGCGCTACTAAAAACTAGAACTAGACTAGAGCTTCAAAATGCTTTTTTTTAATTCCCAATATGACAATTTTTCACCTAAATACAGTCTGTCGAATATCACGGAAAAATTTCGGAAATTCATTTGATCCTTTAATTGTTTGCATTAGTTTATATACAGTGTGGCCTATTAAAAACCAGGACACTCCCCTCTAAAAATTTTTTGATATGCACAATTACATTCTAGATGTATTTGCTGAACCGATTATAATAATGCAGTTGGTAATGTGATTCTTTATGAAGCGATTATTTAAAATTAAAATCTGGTCACGTAACGTTAACCTTACTCCTGTACCTCAAATAATAAATGTTTCACAAAAAAATTTTTTAAATAGTTGTCCCGGTCCTTAATGGTCACACTATGTTATCGTGTAGGAATTCTTAAAAAATATATATATTGTTTTTACTGGTTTTAATTTTACGATTGTGTCGCAATCGTTGGAGAATTCTTACAAGTTAGCACATTCATTGTTGCAACAGGTAGACTGTTAATTTAAGAAATAATAATTTTTATATGTAAATATCTTTATACGATATATTGAATTTTGACTATTTATATAAAGTGATTTAAATAACTAAGTTATATTACAAATTATATTATGTTGTTGGATATTTAATTTACATCCATAAATTGGTTACCAATTTATTATTTTTTTAAATAAAATATGAATGGAAAAGTTAAATATTTAATTTTTTTTAGATTAGCACAACAGAACATCAGTGATGCAAAAAAAATGTACACAATTAATTTTTATAATGCAATGGTATATACTTGAAATGTGGCGTAGCAATTTACATTTTGCAGCCAGAATAGTATAAAAGGAAAGCAAAATCAAATAATTATTGAAGAACAAACCTTTCATGCAGCATATATAAATTGAATCAGATTGAACTACACTTCCTGATTCGTCTTCTTCTTCTTGTCGAGTCATTTGCTTATTCAGATTTTTTAATTCGAACTATGTTAGAATAGATCCAAAATAACAGCTTAATTATATTTCTATATGGATTAATTAGAGATATAAATGAAATCATTCTTGATTTGGAAATTTTCTAAACGAGTTTTATAAAAGCTCGTTATTATGAGTGGCAAAGAATACACTGTAGTTCATATGTATATCGCGTATCCCTCTTTTTGTTCTTTGTAGTCAAGAAACTGGAAATGTCATACACTGACTGTCAAACATCTGTCACTGTCAGATCAAAATTCACATATGTGTTCAAAGACAGGCAATTTAGTTTTAATTTATTGAAAACCATGAGTGTAACACCAAAATTGGACGATTTAATTCAGTCCGTTTCGCTCTATACTCGAATTCCAACTTTATTTCACTTGTATGTTTTACCATTTATATTAATTTATTCAGGATGGATGTATGTTTGGTTAGGAATATATGGCTTCACGGATCATTACGAAGGAGGATTTGTCGGTTTGGCCGTAATTGGATGCCTCCAAATACTGTCCTGCCTAGCATGCTACTGGTCAGTCCATATAAATAGTTTCTTCAGTTGTAGAAAGGTATGTTTACGTTAAGTGTGCCCTACATATTTTACTAATAATTTATTCATACTTTTAGGAAAAAGATGCAAATAAAGCCACTATTGCTAAAGTAATACCTACACCAAATAATGGGAGTGCCGAACTTGTTTGGTTACATCACGCAAAGGTATAGTATGAATATGTTAACACATTCAAGAAACTGTTTTTTCGCTGTTTCAGAAGGAAAAAGAAACGACGATATGGTTCATGTTTCAAAAAACAAAGTATATATGGGACTCTGATAAAAAGATATTCCGTGGTCTAGAATTCCCTATAAATAAGTCATATTCTGAGTATGTATCTTGCAAAGGCTTTCAAGAAGACACAGATATTCAACAAGCTGACGAACTTTATGGAAAAAATGAACTGGACATGGTCATACCTGAATTTAAAGAATTATTTATTGAACGAGCCACTGCACCGTTTTTTGTATTTCAAGTGTTTTGCGTAGCTCTGTGGTGTCTTGACGACTTTTGGTATTACTCACTTTTCACCTTGTTGATGCTGGTTTTGTTTGAATGCACTCTTGTAAACCAACAACTCCGTAACATGGACGAAATAAGAAAGATGGGCAACAAGCCATACAACATTCTCGTTTACAGAAATAGGAAATGGAGGATGATTCCAACTTGGGAACTTATACCAGGAGATATCATTTCCGTTACCCGTTCTCAGAAAGACAACCTAATACCTTGTGACGTGCTGTTGTTAAGAGGATCTTGCATTGTCGACGAAAGTATGCTGACTGGAGAATCTGTCCCTCAGATGAAGGAAGCTGTAGAAAATTTTGAACCTAATAAAATTTTAGATCCGGAAGGGGAAGGAAAACTACATGTTTTATTTGGAGGTAAAAATAGGTCATTTTTTATTATATAAAGGTTGCAAAATGTAGGTCAGAGGCCTTCATTTTGCCATTTTCCATTTAGGTGATTTTCAAGGTAAGCGATGTCAAAATTATAAATTTAATAACTTTAATAATTTTTAAGACAACAATTAGCATAGACTTTTATCCTTACTGGGATATTTCATGTGTAATTTGAATAAGAAAGTCCTTGTACTTACATCATGTTCAGTTCTCAAAATATTTGACGTAGGTAAATCGAAACAACAGAAGTCAACACATTTTTTTTCATCTATTTCTATATAAATAAAACTGAAGGAGTTAGGTTCTATCAGAACATTTAATGTAAAAAAACTACATATTAATATTAAATAATTATACCTTATTTATAAAACAAACCATGTATTTGATACATACTTATTGTTCAGTTGAAAAAGAACCATAAAAACTAAACAATTGGTTTAAAAAATGTATCAATTCGAGTTTGTTTCGCTTCGTTTTTCTTGTTTTCATACTTTTCTCGAACATTGGTAGGAATTTTGTTATGAACCTTAAAACTTATTTTGAAATTTGGATCATGTTCCTTAAAAATACTGTGAAATAGCCCATGACATATCTTGAAACCATAGACGTTGATTGAGGACTGGTGTTAAAATATTGGTCAACGCAAATCGAAATGACGTCACTCCCTGCCTGTACTTGAATTATTTTTTTTAGTTTTTATTTTGTTTTATAATTTTTGTAAAATTTTAATTTAAGCCTTCGTTTACGAGATATTGCAACTTGCCTGATTAAAAAAAAACAATACTTTAAACCATAAGCAAGTATAGTTTACAAGAGGTCGTTTTTTTAGGAGAACCCCCTGATTCTGAATCTGAAATACAATTTTTTTTTAACTCAAATAAATAATCAAGTTATGATTTTTTTTTAAACTGCATTTAAATTTTTGTCTATGCCACCAGTGGACAGCTCCAGAACTTTATGTTTTGCCTATTATTACCTTCTCAAACTAACTATACGAAACTAATAGTGATGAGCGATATTTTCACCAAGAATTTGTAAAAAAAAATTGACATTCTAAAGGTCAAAGGTAACTTCCATGTAAATATGACCTCTATATAGTAAGTTATTATTAAAAATGTTGTTTAAATTTTAACTGGGACATCTCGTATATAAATTCATATATTTTAGGTACCAAAGTGGTTCAACACACTCCACCAACAAAAGCAACTACTGGTCTGAGACCGCAGGATAACGGCTGTGTAGCCTATGTACTACGTACCGGATTCAATACCTCCCAGGGAAAGCTTTTAAGAACGATTCTGTTTGGCGTTAAACGTGTCACGGCAAATAACAAAGAAACGTTTGGTTTCATAATGTTTCTCTTAATCTTCGCCATTGCCGCGGCATGGTACGTCTGGACTAAAGGCTGTGAGGACCCGAAAAGGAGTCGGTATAAGCTCTTCTTGGAATGTACCTTAATTTTGACGTCCGTCATTCCGCCAGAGCTACCAATAGAGCTGTCTCTAGCCGTGAATACATCTTTAATTGCCCTTTCAAAATTAGGTAAATTTTTCTTGTATTGCTATATGTGACATATAAACAAATTTATTCTTCTCTAGGTGTATTTTGTACAGAACCGTTTAGGATACCGTTTGCTGGCAAAGTGGACATTTGCTGTTTCGACAAAACAGGAACTCTAACAAGCGACGATTTGGTGGTAGAGGGAGTTGCGCTAGCAGAAAAGGATTCTAGAGTCACTGCCATAACAGACGTACCAATGGAAACGGTACAGGTCCTCGCGACTTGTCACTCTCTAGCTCAACTGGACGATGGTCTAGTAGGCGACCCCTTGGAGAAAGCAACGTTAACGGCAATTGACTGGAATGTTACCAAAGCAGATGCAGTGGTGCCCAAGAGAGGAAGATCTCCGGGATTGAAAATTTTCCACCGGTTTCATTTCTCGTCTGCTCTAAAAAGGATGGCTGTTATAGCAGGGTACAATCCCATGGGGTCAACCGACATCGTGTACTTATGTACCGTGAAGGGTGCTCCGGAGACGTTAAAAGACATGTTTTCGGAGATCCCAGAGCAGTACGATGAGGTTTATTTGGAGTTGTCACGAAGAGGCGCAAGGGTTTTAGCTTTAGGTGAGGTTAAATTTATTATTAACAAAATTTAGTTGTAATCGCAATTTTTAGGATATCGAGAGATTGGAAAGCTCTCCACACAAGAGCTCAGAGATTTGTCAAGGGAAGACGTGGAAAGGGACCTGAAGTTCGTGGGTTTCGTGATAATTTCCTGCCCGTTGAAAAGCGACTCGAAATCCGTAATAAGAGAACTGCAACACTCCTCTCACAAAGTGGTGATGATAACAGGAGACAACCCTTTAACTGGTTGTCACGTGGCTAAAGAACTTAAATTCACCACCAAAACCACTCTGGTATTAACGCAAAAAGAAGATTCTTTCCTGTGGCAGTCTATCGATGAATCAGAAAGATTACCGTTAGAACACGATTACAAGAGTCTAATCAGCAAATACGATCTGTGCATCACAGGGGATGGACTGAGTTACCTGCGAGAGAACTATTACAGTTTCCTCAACCATATCCTGCCCTACATAACGGTGTACGCAAGATTCGCCCCCAAACAAAAAGAATTTGTCGTGGTCCAGCTGAAAAACTTGGGTTACACGGCTCTCATGTGCGGCGATGGCACGAACGATGTGGGTGCATTAAAGCACGCCAACGTAGGAGTAGCGATTCTGTCTAATGCCCCCGAACGACCCATCGATCTCAAAGAACAAAAGGAAAAGTTGGAGAGGGAGCGTGAGAGGAAACAGAAAGAATTGCGGGAAGTTGAACGAGTCAGAAACAGGCCGAATCACGTCCGCAATATGGTGGAGCAAAGGGAGAAGCTTCAGGCTAAGGTGGACAAGATGATGAAGGAGTTGGATGAGCAGGATCAGCCCCAGGTGGTTAAGTTGGGGGACGCCAGTATCGCATCACCGTTTACCAGCAAGTTGTCGTCGATTATGTGCAGTAAGTAAATTAGTAGTTGTTTCTAATTAATAATGATAATTCGGAAGTGCGTGACGACATAGTTTTTTTATTTTTTTAATGTAACAGACTCTTGTGCGAATTTTTGGAAATTTTTAACTTGAAAAAATAAACTAAATTAATTTGTGAAACGGCATTGTCACAAAATAATTTGAACATTCTTGAATTCGGCGGGAAGAAAGATTGTTTGTACATTTAATTTTGTTTTAATTGACGTTTATTTTACTTTTGTTTTTGATCTTTGACAGAACAGGTCAATAATTATGATGTATTAGCAGAGAACGCATTAGGCGGTCACGGTCCATTCTGGGCTGAGCTGATTGCGGTCTTTTACAAAATCAGTCGCATTTGGCAATCGTACACAACCCTGTCCGCGCTCTTTAAATAGTTGAGGTATTGCTATAGTAGTTAAAAAAAATTGGTTATATGGAAGAGGAAGCTCATCTCGATCGCATCGCAGTCTCCCGAGATTCTTTGGAAAAGAGAACGCAATGCGAGTGCGATGAGCTCGGGAATGTTTAGTGCGAATGCATACATTAGAAAACATGGGAAGGAACTCCACCGCACGCGACCGAGACTAGCAAGTCAAAAATATATTTTAGTACCGCAGCGCAACAATTACACATAAGCGAAAAAAGAGGCTATTTTTACACTTAAAATACTTTGAAAAATACTTAGTAAATGAAAATCCAAGTGATTTTCCCAGCAAAGTCGTGAACAATTTTTTTTTTTTGAACAAAAACTGCAAAAAATGAAATTTTTTTTTGTTTTTTATAATATCTGAAAAATAATGATGAAATCGTCTTACTCTCGATAGGATTTTTGTAGAGAATAAAAAAATCTATAAAATGTTTTTTTCTGCGACCCGATCTGTTCATTTTTTACAGAGAAAATCCAGAAAAACCTCTAAAATAGACCTTTCTTTCAAAAATTCATAACAGTCAAATTTAAAGCTGGAAAAACAATCTTGCGGAAAATGACAGATAGTAATATGTAGGTTAATTGTGCGCAAGATGGTTTATGTCCGATGCATAGTTTTTGCACAACTGCATTATAAACAAATTAGGGTCTTTTTTTGCACAGGGTGTGATTTATCTAAATTGGTCCGATTTAAATTCTGAAAACGGCATCTGAAAGAAAACGACAAAATCTCCAATTTGTATATTTCGGGGTTTTGCCTGGATGATAGAAAATATGCTGAAAATGTCCTTGAAAGTTGTCTGAAACGATCGAAAGTATGTTTGAGTCAGAGTCGGGTAGCAGTAGTGCGGGACTCAGCGAGCGGAGGACTCTGGCTCAAGCACGATTAAACTACATATTATTAATGTCATTTTCTGCAAGATTGTTTTTCCACCTTCAAATATGACGAAGTTATAAATTTTTTAAAAAAGGTCTATATTAGAGGTTTTTCTGGATTTTCTCTGTAAGAATTGAACTGATTGGGTCACACAAAAAACCAGTCTATAGGTTTTTTGATTCCCTACAAAAGTCTTATTGAGAGTAAGACGATTCCATTATTATTTTTCGAGATATTATAAAAAAAACAAAAAAACTTAATTTTTTTGCAGTTTTTATTATTAAAAAAAAAAAATTGTTCACGACTTTGCTGGGGAAATCACTTGGGTTTTCAATTACTAATTGTAACTATTTTTCAAAAGGTAATACATAAAATTAGCTGTAATATATAAGTCTGCCAAAAAATCTCTATAACACATAATAAAACTTTTACTATCCCGAGGAACACATTTTTTTTTATTTATTTCTAGTTTGTCACATAATTAAACAAGGAAGGTGTACCCTAGTAACAACGCTGCAGATGTTCAAAATATTAGCCTTAAACGCACTAATCTTGGCATACACCCAATCGGTACTCTATCTAGACGGTATCAAACTAAGAGATCTGCAGGCTACTTTGCAAGGACTGTTATTGGCTGCCTGTTTCTTGTTTATATCAAGGTCAAAGGTAAGCACTTGGATCATTATCAAAATTGGTTTGTAAAAAGGAAATATTTTTCAGCCATTAAAAGTGTTATCGAAACAGAGACCTCTACCGAATATATTCAATTTCTACACTATTTTAACTGTAATTCTACAGTTTATGGTACATTTCGTCTGCCTGTTATTTTTAGTCCAAGAAGCCAAACTACGGACACCTGTGTGAGTACTTTATAATTTTCTTGACAATTTTTTTTTGTTTGGTCAATAACATAATCTTTCGTTTTTTATGAAATACTGTAAATTTACAGCTGTAAATGGAATTATATACAGTAGGTGGCCCAAAAAAAAATATTTTTTTCCCGTGTCTTGTGAGAATATGTTAGTTTATCATGTTTTAAGAGCCCCCAAAAAATCAGCTCAAAAAAAATTTTTTTAGAGGTCGCCCAAGATTTTTCAAAATTTTCAAAACGTCAAAAATTGAATTTTTTTTATTTTAATTTTTTTCTCTCGTTATTTTATCATGTTCTAGGTTGAAAAAAATCTCTATTCAGAAAATTTCAATTCGATATCTTAATTTCTAAAGGTCACTCATAATTATTTTAACTTTCAAGGTAGTGTACCTGTTTTCGAGCGATCTCTGAAAATAAATATCAACGAACTATTAATTTTTTTTTATCAAATTTGATTAACAACGGAATAGAAATAAATCACGAGACACTTTAAAAAATTTAAAAATTATAAATATTTGATACTCAGTCCGGTAGTAAATTTTGCCTTGAGAAATTTTTTTCAGTGTCTCGTGATTTATTTCTATTCTTCTGTTCATCAAATTCAATAAAAAAAATTATTAGTTCGTTGATATTTATTTTTAGAGGTCGCTCGAAAACATTTTAGGTACACTAGTTTTAAAGTTAAAATAATTATGAGTGACCCTTAGAAATTAAAATATCGATTTGAAATTTTCAGAATCGAGATTTTTTTCAACCTAGAAAATGATAAAATAACGAGAAAAAAAATTTAAAAAAAAATTAATTTTTTGCGGTTTTTGGAATTTTTTGATTTTTGGGGGTTTTTTTAAAATTTTTTTTTCAGCTGATTTTTTGAGGGGGCTCCTAAAACATGATATACTAACATATTTTCATAAGACAGGAAAAAAGAATATTCGTTTTTGTTGGGCCACTTTAATATACAGTGTGTTCAAATTTAAAGGTGTACATGTCATTAGCATAATAAGTAAAAGTAAAAAACAAAGTTAAAATATTGTTCTGTTTTTGCTTATATTTTACCAATGCTTAAGTAAATGTGTTCTAACTGTTCTAGACCTTTTTTTATAAAGTAACGATTTTATAAAAATTTTATTAGAAATATTTGTCTAATAGCACCACATCTCTAGTGTTGGCCTATCGTGATTTTATTTTTTTTTTCAAGCAGAAATTAATGTTGCAAAAACGGTATAAATTATGCATGCAAATTGTCCTTTTTTGAGATTAATTCATTAAAATTTAAATAATCGTCCCAGTTTCCACAAAAACTTTTAAATAAAAACAACATTGTTGTAAAGGTTAAAATTTGTTTGTCATTAGAGCCTAATTAATAAAAAAATATTTTATCTAGTCTGGTAAAGTGCTCGAGAATTAATTTTTAAAGAATTTTCGGCGAAGCCGAACGAGATTGAAAGACAATAAATAAACTTAAATGCTATGGACTTGAGGATTTCTATGTACATGATATAATTGTTATAAAATTAAAAAACACGAGATACTTCGTATTTTTTAAAATGAAAATTACATATTCTTAAAAAACATTCTCATGAAAATATTTTCTATTTTTCTCAAAAATTCTCTGAAGTGCACCATATCTTCTAACACTTATAAATAGTATTTAAAGTCCAGCATGCTGCCGCAGTGGTGCAAGATTTAAGAAAATTTGGAAAAACTGTTCCTTTTCTGATTCCGAAGGAATTATTATAAGCAATGGGATTTTCATACACAAACATTTTTGCCTATACAATATTCATTTTAACTTTGTTTATTTTGTTTTTATGTTAATGTTATGGCGTAACGCCACTCTAGAGGTTGGGAAAAAAAGGTGATTTTTGTGAATTTTTAAGGAAAACTCGATAAAAGATAATTATAGAGTCAGGAACAAAAAGGCTTTCTTGTATATGTCTTCAGGTAGTATTGTGAATTTTTCAAAAGGATTTGGATTCAAAATGGTGGCTGTAGGTGATGGCAAGCAGGCAGAGGGCTATATGGCCAAAACAGTTTCTTATTAACGGATGGTTTTGGAACAAAAAACAAAAATTTTCTGATATACAGGGTGATTCAGAACTTATCCAAAAAAAAATTCTGGATGTACAGGGAACCCAAATACAATTTTGTAAAGAAAACATCAAAAAGAGCAGTTCGAAAATGATTTTTAAATACACTTCTGCATGGCACTGGAAACTGGTCCACTCTAAAACCTGACATCACACAATGCGACCGGCATGGCGATGTGATAAAAATGGACAAAAACTTTCGCAAGGAAAGAAATAAATAGAATTTTATAGCACCTATTTTATATCGGCAAATTCAAATGCTTTTACCTTTATTAATAAAATTAATTTGTGTTTGAAATAATAAAATCATTTGACATAGGTACCCGATGTTACAAGAACAATTGTTCAAAATTTTATCCACACGTGTAAACACATTTGGGTCCGTCTTACTCACTTTCTACGAACTAACACAAATGATCTCTTGCTTCACCATAACACAAATGCTTCACCATAATACAAATGTTGTCTTGCTTCACCATAAATTAAAACGATATCCATCAACTCCGAGTTGATATACACGCAAACCATTTTTGACACTAACTACTAAAAAAACTGTTGTAAACATCACAGGTAACAGGCAAACACTATCGCAACGACGGATTTCAGTATTCGGAGTCGCTAAGGCCACGTGGCTCTCCACGCATATTGGAAATGACGTTAAAGACTACAGTTGTCCAGCTATGTAGTGGTTGAATGTACTATAACTTCAATAATTTTTTTCTCGGAAACTATAAGAATTTTACAAAAATTTTTTTTACGATATTGACTCCATTTCTCATGCCGCATCTATTCCCAAATTTTTTTGGATAAGTGGTGAATCACCCTGTATACTAAACGCTGTGGAACATTGTTTAAACCATTTAAACAAATTATCCAAAAATCGATTTTTTAGAAATTCTAGAGAGGCTTTACCCCTTATTCTATAAAATTGCGACATACCAAATATACGTTTTTATTACTAGGGATGAAACTAAGTTGAACGCCACTGCACCTGCGGAAATTGCAGAACTAAGCGAAGAAGAAAAAGATAAACTGTTTGAACCGAACATAATAAATAGTACGGTTTACATAATTTCGATGGCTCTCCAAATAGCAACTTTTGCTATAAATTACAGGGTAAGGCTAAAGAATCCAACTTAACAATCGTTTCATGATGCATTTTCTAGGGCAATCCGTACATGGAAAGTTTAAAACAGAACAAAGCTTTATTGTACAGTATTTTGGGATCTGGGGGAGTCGTTTTAGCTTTAACTTTGGGGCTGGTACCAGAACTGTCCGCCCAGTTCGAAATTATAGATTTCCCTCCAGACGTAAGTATATTTACGAACTGTATAATTTTCTATACACAGTGTTTTATAATTATGTTTTTTCTCTTTTAGTTTCGAATTGTATTACTCCAAGTCCTGTTTGCGGATTTTTTCTTCTCTTATTTAATGGATAGATTATGTCTGCTTTTGTGCGGAGAAGGCAGTATGAAGCTATCATAGAAAATTAAAGTAAATGTCAAGACTAGCGCATTGAATTAGAATTTATAATTTATTTACTTGTATTAAATCATTCCAAGTGAAATTGAGATCATTTTTTTATATACGTATTAATTTTGCAGTTAGGTAAATTGGAGAAAAAAAACAAACAATGTACTATTTTTAATATTGTTGGTATTGTATACAAGAAATATATTTGAGTTTTATCTTTGTTTCATTTTGCACTCCTATACATAGGTGTCTGAAATCGAAAAAAAGGAAACAAAGTGAAAAATCCATATGTGCCCTTCCATTAGAATAGTGAAAACAAAATTGTTTTAAAATGTTAAATTTGCGTAATTTTAAAAACGTGAACAAAATCTGATTTGTGCAAAAGCTTTAAAAAACCCATCGCAATTAAAAAAAATAAAAATCAAGTATGTGTATGAAATTGAATGAAACAAATGAAGTGAAAAACCCCTTTCTTCCCCCCCCCTCCTTTAAAATTGTAAAAAAACGCAATTATTGAAATTTAAAAAATGTAGCTATTTGAAATGTAATAAAACAAAAAATCCATTTCCCTCATCTCTTTAAAATGTCAAAAAAAAATGTTTCAAAAATCAGGTTTCTGCAAAAGAAATAAAAAAAAATTGTAATTTTAAAAAGTCTAATGTATGAAGTCGAATAAAATCAATGAAGTGAAAAGGCCATTTCTCCCTGTCTTTAAAATTGTAGAAACAAAATGTTTGAAAAAGTCAAGTTTGTGAGAAAACAGAAAAAAAAACTTAAAATTTAAAAATTTTTAAAAATCTAGGTGGTAGGTTTTTGAAATCGAATAAAACAAATGAAAATTCCATTTTCACTCCCCTTCATATTTAGAATTGTAAAAAAATGTTTTAAAAAGTGAGGTTCGTGAAAAATCTCAAAAGAAAAACTTATAAAAAGCTTCTTACAATTTAAAGGATTTAAAAAATCAAGTAGGTGGCTAAAATTAAATAAAACAAATTAATTATAAAAAATCTATTTATCCTCCCTGTCTTTAAAATAGTAAAAATAAATGTTCTAAAGTTGTTCATGCAAAAGTCTCAAAAACTAAGTAGGCGCCTGTGTCAGCCTTTCTGAAACAACTGAATGTGCCATTGTTTGACTGAATGTGTTATTGTTTGAAAGCTTAGAAATATGGCCACCAGCAATGTGGTTCTTCAAAAAATCAACATAAGAAACTTGGATCCCAACTTTGAAAACATATTAATTGTTGGGATTATCATTGGTAAGCAAAGACCTAGGAAATTTGCGGATACAAAAACTGCAGTAGAGGTATACAAGGGTGTCTGGAATTTTACCTTACGCGATTCTCCCCAGGATTATATTAACATAACATACTGGAGTTCTAGTGAAGCAGTATTTCAAGCAAATGATAAATTTCACACTGGTGATGTTGGTGAGATGTTTTGTGTTTTGCCATTTTATCCGAAAAAATTTTCAAGTCTTGTTTCTGTATTAAGGTAAACTTTAATAGACGTATTACTTATTTTTAATTTTAGTGGAAATAGTGAATCCAAGAGTAATAGTTAGAAAAATTAATGATTACGGTGAACAATTTCGTCCAATGGTGACTTCTCCATTTTCATTATCTTTAAATGAACAATCTGCGATTGTGAAACATGACGGTGATCCTAGGCGTTATTTATGTTTACTCAAATATCCAACTAAACCGATTGCTGGATTTTTACCTATAAGAGATGTTCATAATCGAGGGGACGCTATAAAAGGTTTGAAAAAAGTGTATTGATTTATATAAGTATGATGTAATAATTATTATTCGTTAGACTCATATGTAGATATTTTGGGAGTCGTGAGAGGCCTCGGTTCGATTCGCACTGTCACAGCAAAGAACAGTGAAAATCTACAAGTCCGCACAGTAGAAGTGTTTGATCATACTGCACCTAGTTTAAAAATAGAAATATGGGATCCTGACATCATACTGAAGTATTTCTTTCAACTTTCTATGATAGCATAACTTACAATAATATAATTTTAGGTCTTACAACTGGAAACCTCGTTTTACTGCCGTATTTTTCACTGATGTACGTATTTGTTGGTCAGGTTTTGAAAGATCGTTCGTAGCAAAAGTTACATCTCGTACCATAGTAACAGAGAATCCAGATGGGCGTGAAGTCCATCTCTTACTTAATTATGCCAAAACTGCGCCGATAGAAACTTTTGAAATCATTGACCACCTGTTAAAGGAACTGCCTAATCGTAAGTTAAATCAATTTTATGATCATAGGTATAAATTTAATCAATTTTTCAGCAAATAGTATACAAGACGTAATGAGCATAAAGCAAGTCCAAGATAAAATAAACCATATCCAAGAAACTGCTTCGAATACTAAGCAGTTCATGGCGTTGACATATTCCTTTGTTACTTCTCTGGATTTGGACGGTCTTTCCAGAACGCTAACAATAAAATGGTTTATAAAAGAAATAACTGAGATAAACAATGGTTTCCATAATTTTTTTTTTAGTGGTCATTGCCATTTATCGATGAACGGTGGACGATGTGAGAATTCGGAGTGCCCTACGGTGTTCGAAAACGTGGTTGTTGAGCCTGAAATCAACTTGGATATAAGGATTATGTTAACAGACCATACTGGGACCCTGACAAACTGTCGCTTCAGTGGACAGGTTACCGAACAAGCGTTAAACTGCACAGTAAGCCATTGCGGAGTAATATACGATAAATTGTGATCTAAATTCGAAGTTTCAGGCTAGGGAATTTTCTAATATGTCCGACGATGAAAAGTGCAAGTTGAAATGGAAATACCTGATGGAACGTTGCGCGGTACGCATTGCCGTATTGTTCATCGGACGGCAGACTCCGATAATCTCGGTGCTAAGCCTGAGTAGGGCAAATGCCCATGAAGTAGCCAGCAAGCTACCAGTTTATTAAAGTTTTTAATGTGTTTATTACTTGTTTTTCTTTTCATATCAATTCATTAAGCTGTAAAACTCCATAACAATAAATATGATGTATTAATCCTAACAAATAAGATCTCTTACTGTTTCACAAATTTAGTTCTTTCAATGTTACGTTCACGCTTTCTTTTTCGACAATGTACCGTCTCTTCACACCACTCGGGTAGACTGGGGGCAGGTGGAGCATCTTCTATCCTTCCATACCGTTTAAATAATTCTTTTATATAATCGTCTTTATAAATACCGGGAGGCCTAAAAATATACATTCTATAAGCCAGGTTCTTTGACTAAATATCTTATTTACAAATCTCTAGTCTCTGTTTATAACATTTTAGGGCAATCAAAAGTAACAAGTTTTACAAATAAAAAAAATAAGAATATATTATTAAAGAAGCAGTAAAAAGATGGTAGGAGAAAAAATACAAAGAAAGATCATAGAAGATAATTAAATAAATGTAATGCAAAATTTGTTATTAAAAATGTTTCTAACCTAACTAAATCTAACCTAATTTAAGCCAACATAAAAGAAAAAAACAAATGTCGGACAAGCATCTACAATGAAAAATTAACGATAATGAATAACTTCACCGAAGTACACATTAATAAAACATCTATAACAAGGAAGAATAGAATACACCAAAAATACCTATTTACGGTTGGTCAAAACCTTTGAGTATGGATCGTTTATAAAAATCTACAATTGTAACATGACATTTCTGAAGCAATGGATGTGTAGCAGAAAATAATAAATATTTTTTAATTTTGGGGCATTCCACGCCAAATCGACCACTTTTAACCCTGACCCCTTTCGATTTGGCTGAAACTTTTGTATTGTTTTCTACCCCATTGAAAACTTGCGACTTTTTTCAATTTTTTTTCACTCGACTCAAAAAAAGATGAATTTTTGAAAAAAATAGCTTTTTTTAAAAAATAACCATACCTTTTCAAAAATTGAGTTATCGTGACGTTTTTTTTTCAAAATTTTTGTTTTTAAATGTGCTTTTTGAAAAAAATAGATCAAAATTATCTGGACCTGTCTTCAGTTTTTTTTCAATTTTCGAAAAGTGAGTGGTTTTTTCGTTTTCTATTTTATTTGTGATTCAAAAATTTTTTTTTCAAATTTAGCTTATATCACCATTTTGAAATTTTTTGAAAATGTATATAGAATCCCAAAATTCAAAAAAAAATATATGAGGGAAATAATTGAAAGTGGTAAAACATGAAAAAAATTTCGATTTTTTTTGAAAAAGAAGAAAAAAATAGAATACCGTTTTGAATATTTTTTTTCGAAAACCATCCAAAAACAAAGAAAATTAAAAAAAAAGGTGTTATTTGGTCCATTTTTTAACGAACAGGCTTTAAAAAGATGCAAACTCAAATAAATCATTTTGAAATCATCTTTTGACATTTTGAAATTGTCATCAATCGCTGCATAGAATAAATTTTTTCAATTTTGGGATTCTATAATTTTCAAAAATTTTCAAAATGGTGTGAAATAAGCTAAATTTGAAAAAAAAATTTTTTCAATCAGTAAAAAAAAATAGAAAACGAAAAAACATCACTGAAAAAATTTGAGGATTTATAAAAAATGTCAGTTTTTTATAAGAAAAAATAATTTTCAAATATTTTTTCGAAAATTGAAAAAAAAACGGTGAAGATAGGTCTAGATAATTTTGATCTATTTTTTTTCAAAAAGTATATTTAAAAACTAAAAATTTGAAAAAAAAAACTCCCGATAACTCAATTTTTGAAAAGATGGTTATTTAATAAGAAACTATTTTTTTCAAAAATTCATCTTTCTTGGAGTTGGGTGAACAAATTCTTAGAGGTTATCAATGGGGTAGAAAACTATAAAAAAGTTTCAGCCAAATCGAAAGGGATCAGGATTAAAAGTGGTCGATTTGACGAGGAATGCCCCAAATATAAAGCACAAGGGGGAAACCGTTGATCAAAATAGTGTATACTAACTACTTCCCATTACTTTCTGTAAACTATCATTTGCTGGTTAATGCCTATGTATTCCCCTTCTTACCTGTTCTTTAAGATTTCCCCTTATTACCAAAATTTTCTCGTATTACCTAGAATTTCCCGTCATTACCTGCAATTTCCTTGCATTACCTGGCATTTCCTGTGAGTTATCTTTATAATTTGTTAGTATCATACAGTAGTAGTAGTTGTTGTTGTTGTTGTTGTTGTTGTTGTTGTTGTTGTTGTTGTTGTTGTTGTTGTTGTTGTTGTTGTTGTTGTTGTTGTTGTTGTTGTTGTATGTTATATACATTATAGTGTCTGCAGATTGTCCAAAAAACTTACTTTCATACCGAGTGTCTTTTAAAAAGGACTAGTGTTAATCGTTCCAAAAAAATTATATCATCTGTCATTTTTTTTAATGCCTACTACACAAGTCTACTGCTATATGAATACGGGGTGTTCTAATATTTCGTAAACATGAGACAAGTACAAATTCTTGGGAACAAGATAAAATTTAATTAATCTTGACTGTTTTCAAAATTGAAGTTTCAAAATTAACTAGTTTTCTCATAAATCTTTGTATTATCCTGGATTATCTCGCATTATCCGGCATTACCTTTGAGTACACACTAAATTTCTTCAGCAGTTTGCCCCTTGCATAAAAATAAACCATCCTCAACCAAAGTATTTAAAATGTTGAATGTTTAAGGTAAAATGAAAAAAGTGTCAATCAGCTGTCTACTAATGATTGCCCTAAAGTGTGATACAGCCAATTCCTACCTTGATTCTGAAAAAATCTGTAATGCCGTACCAACATCAAATTTTAACCTTTCAACTAAGAATGCTGTTATTAGGAATCCTGTCCTGTTAAAACCGTGAGTGCAATGTACAGCTATACATTCAAATGGGGCCTTAACAATATGCTCATGCACGACGGAAATAAAAAACTGGGTATCACGTGGCGTGGGTGCCTGACCATGACCTCTACATTTTATTTTGACATATTCGCAGCCTTCCTGTCGTATGTCTTCCTTTCGGTAATATCGATATGTATTTGTTAGATCTATCCACAAACCAATTTTTACCTAAAATAAAATAAATTCAATTAAAACGGAAGGTACTTACAAAATATATTTACTTTGTTGTTTTTTGCTAGAGAAAATATCTCTCGCGGATGATATCTAAGGTCTCTAGGTATTTGGTGATCGAAATTAGAATTTAACGGAGTTTTTAAAGGCATAAATTTGGATAAAATCAAATGGTTTCCATTTGGGGGACAATCTAGCCATCTGTCAGGCACAGGTCCATCAGGGGCCCATCTTTTGAAAGCCATTTCTGAATTTGTTTTATTCTATCTGAATATTAGGAATTTAATAGAACATATGGTTACATTGTCTTGATAAGAGTGAAACTCTGTTATAGGTTAGGGTACTTTATTACTGAGAACAAGTTAAACTGTAATACCTTAATATCGAATTGACGGCTTTCACTTTAGTCGCTGTTTTATTGAATTTAAAATACAATTTTCTTTAATAAATTATCTACAGTTATTTGTAGTTTCCTCTTTTTCGTGAAGGCTATTTAATTATTTAAATTTGCCTCCTCCTTTGTACAGAAAGTGCAGGCAACTTGATAAGTTTTTTCATATCCCTTATTTTAAAAATTTTCATCTAAACAGGATTAATTTGAATATTTGGTTCTTATTGAGTGGAACAAGATGGAATTTAATTATTTCTAAATAAATCAAGGATCTACCCTATTAAAGAATCTCAAAAAGAAAGAAAAATATTCTTTAAATTCAATAATGTACCTACTTGATTTGAAAAGTGACAAATGACAAGCAGTGTCGACAACGTTTCAAAATTTTACAAATATGTAAAATTGTAAAAAAGTCGTTGTTGGTGCTCAAATAGTAAGGAAAACCATATTTCTCAAAATAAAGTAGTATATATTGAAAGAATTGTAACTAAGTTCAAGCTATGCATATGTTATAAAAAGATTGTGCGATCTTTACCACACCTTTTGTTGTGAGAACATAACCTTACATTTAAGAAATTTTGGGTAAATAGAAATGAGTAGACCTAGAAAAAATGCAGGACCTGTTCCAGACAGATGGATGCACTGTCCGAGAAAATCGGATAATTTAGTAATAGATAAGTTCTTGGCTTTTAAAACACCATTAAGTAGCAATTTTGACGAGCAAGTACCGCCAGAATGTAGGTTTCCGCCAAAGATGTTATTTAACTATTGCAAATCAAAAAAGGTAGTGAAAGTTATCATTTCAGTGTATGATAAATCTTTGTTTTTATAATTTTCTTTTAGATTAAGCTTGGTTTGTGGATAGATCTTACAAATACGAAAAGATTTTATGATAAAGAAGAAATAGAAGACTATGAATGTAAATATGTAAAATTGCAATGTAGAGGTCATGGAGAAACTCCATCTATAGACCAAACAACTGCTTTTATTGAATTAGTTCACAGTTTCATATTAAAACACCCCCTTGAACGTATTGCAGTTCATTGCACCCATGGTTTTAATAGGACAGGTTTTCTTATTGTCTCGTATTTAGTGGAAAAGATGGATTGCAGTCTCGAAATTGCATTAGAAATGTTTGCAAAAGCAAGGTGCTAATTGTCTTATTTGTACATTGTTAAATTCCTTAATATTTTTTATTTAAGGCCTGTTGGGATATATAAAGAAGATTATATTCAAGAGTTGTATAGAAGGTATGACGATGTTGATGATGCACCACCTGCACCAAATCTACCCGATTGGTGTTTGGAGAGTGATGATACTGAAGGTACAAATAATTTTGATTTTGATGACCCTTCTGATACAGCCTCAACATCCTCCAAGTAAGGATACTAATATCCCAAAGATATGTCTTATAATCGCTTAATTTCCAGTAAAAACCAAACGAATAATAAAGGGAAAGGAAGTAAAAACAAAAATGCAGTATTTATGGAAGGAGTTCCGGGAGTGTATCACTTTCAAGAGCAACCGAAAGCATATCAGTTGCAAAAGAAGGTGCAAACAATGTGCGAATGGAAGCGTAAAGGTTTCCCAGGGTGCCAACCTGTCTCTATGGACGTGAAGAATATTGCTTTCCTTAGTCAGAAGCCTTACAGGTGAAGGTTTTATTAGATTATTTGATTTTGTTGCTAATATTTCAAATTACAGGGTATCCTGGAAAGCTGACGGTATGAGATATATGATGCTTATTGATGGAGAAGATGAGGTATACTTCTTTGACCGCGACCACAATATTTTTAAAGTGGACGGGGTTAGATTCGTCCATAGGAAGGATATTAGAAGGCATCTGAAAGACACTTTGCTTGATGGGGTAGGAAAGAAAGAAAATAACCTAACAATTAATATAATCTTCCAGTATCTGTGCCTTATAAAAAACTGTTTTAGGAAATGGTTATTGACAAAGTGAATGGGGAGGACATCCCCAGGTACTTGGCTTATGATATAGTAAAATTCGAGGGCTTAGACGTTGGCAAGATGCCTTTCCATCCGAACCGACTTCACTGTTTAGAAAATGAAATTATCAAGCCAAGGTATGCAGCTATGGAAAAGGGCTTGATAAATAAGACCTTGGAGCCATTCAGCGTCAGGAAAAAAGACTTCTGGGATATTACCCAGGCAGCTAGTCTTCTAGGTGAAAAGTTTGCCAAAACTTTGTCTCACGAACCCGATGGATTGATCTTCCAACCTTCCAAAGAGGTTTGTATTTATTTATTGGTTTTTGCTACAATTTGTTTTATTTTTTGCACTGTTTCATGTTTTTTATATTCAGGGTGTTGCAAAGAAGTTGGTCAAACCGTTAACACCAGATTCTTTTGGCAAAAATAATAATTTTTTTAGTTAGGCATCTCTTTTCCAAAATACGTTTAAAATTTAAAAATATTTTTTAATTATTGTTTTTTAAGACATCCATTTGACATTTTGCATAGTCTTGTGCCTTACGCAGTCACAATTTTTGTGTAATTTTGATTAAAAAAAAATCAAGGTGTGGACTGAGGAAATTATAATTTTTTGCTTCATGTCATCAGACCTTTTTGTTTATGCTGTGCATTCTTTAAAAAATTGGTGTTTAAAAATATTGACAATGTATCTTTATTAGGGTGGGTAAAAAAAAATTCACCATTTTTTTTTACTTTATACTCTGAAAAATAGGTTGCTAGACACCTCTAGAAAATTCTCTCCAAATATGAGCTCTTAATTTTAATAGGAAGGTCCTCCACTTTACAGTTTTCCATTTTTTCCTCAGTATTTGAAAAAATATATATATATGTCTATCTGCTGTTAGTTAAAAATGTCTCTCCTCATATATTTGTAGGAAATTGAATGCTCAACAAAAAAGGTCTCTTACAATTTTTTCGTAAACCTCACCGTTTAAAAGATATTAAAGGTTGAAGTTTGATTATTTTAAGACAAATTTCTGTTTTGCTTATGAATTTTATAACTAGTTAACAAAAAATCATTATGAAATGCGCAATTCATGGTGTTGTAGGAAATTAACTGCTCTACAAAAATGGTCTCTTATGATTAGTCGATTAAATAAAGCGTTTAAAAGATATTCATCGTCAAACTTCAATGCACGCCAATTTTAACAGTTTTTGATTAATAATTCGGAAAATTTCAATTTAGTTTAAGTTTCAGGGAAATTTATACAAATTTGAGTTTCTAGTGAAGCTCCTAATGCAGTCAAAAAAATTCTTCGCTATCATACTCAATGGTTAAAATTACAAAAAAGTTAAAAAAAAAATCAGCACAAAACCAAAATGTTTGAAATTTTATAACTCGCTTGATAATTAAATAAAAAAACTTTTTAATAACAAATTGAACATTTTTTTTTCTTTAAGATTAATACTTTTCATAATAAATTTCTAACAAAAACGTTATTTTTTCAAGATTTAATGAATCATTGACTGTCAGAAATAATGCACTAATTTTTTTTCGATGTAACCAAATATGCTTACGACTAAAAAAAAACTAGAAAAATAGTTTAAACATTTCTCTGTTCATAGAAACTCAAATTTGTATAAATTTCCCTAAAACTCATAAACTAAATTGAAATTTTTCGAATTATTATTAATCAAAAACTGTTAAAATTGGCGTGCATTGAAGTTTGACGATGAATATCTTTTAAACGCTTTATTTAATCGATTAATCATAAGAGACCATTTTTGTAGAGCAGTTAATTTCCTACAAAACTATGAATTGCGCATTTCATAATGATTTTTTGTTAACGAGTTATAAAATTCATAAGCAAAACAGAAATTTGTCTTAAAATAATCAAACTTCACCTTTAATATCTTTTAAACGGTGAGGTTTACAAAAACATTGTAAGTAACCTTTTTTGTAGGGCGTTCAATTTCCTACAAGTGTATGAGGAGAGATATTTTTAACGAACAGTTGATAGAGAGATATAAATTTTTTTTTCTCATACTGAGGAAAAAATGGAAAACTGTAAAGCGGAGGATCTTCCTATTAAGGTTAAGAGCTCATATTTGGAGAGAATTTTCTAGAGAAAAAAAACTAGTCGATTTTTTTTGACCCACCCTAATCTTTGTATTGTTTTTTGGTAAATTATAATTTTGACACTTGAAAACGAGGTGTTTATATGAAATACAGCTGAAGGGAACTTCTATTATTTTCATCCCAGGAGTTTGTGATTAACGTCTTGACCTACTTTTTTGTAACACCCTGTATATTTTAGCCATACACTGCTGGACGTTGCGATGAAGTACTGAAGTGGAAACCTTTGGATATGAATTCTGTTGATTTTAGACTGAAAATCGTTAAGGAAGAGGGAGAGGGGTACGTAGATGACGATAAAAAATTTAAGACTTGACTTATCCAATCCGTTTTTCAGTATCGTTTCACGTAAAGTTGGTTTCCTTTATGTGGGACAACTGGATACGCCTTTCGCCAAGCTTAAGTACACGAAAGCTCTGAAGGATCTCGATAACAAGATAATCGAATGCAAGTTCGAAGGCGACCAGTGGAAGTTCATGAGAGAAAGAACTGATAAGTCGTTTCCTAATAGTTTTAACACGGCTAAAGGTAACAGCAATTTGATACTTTAAATTTTCTTTTCTTTTGAATTGAACTGAGATTTAAAAAATAATTTTATTTGGGTAATAACCATCGACGTACCATTTTTTTTTTAATGTCAAAGTCAGTGCTCGTGCGCACGCCACTGGTAGAACTAAAAATTATGTTTGTATTGAAAAATATGCGCCTTTATTAATCATCACTACGTCTTAAATATCACTGAAATATCCCAAGCATTTTCAAAAATATTACCTAATTAATCATCTTCTTTTACAGCGTACAGAGCGCTAAAAAGTTTCAAAAAAATTAGTTTTTTTTACAATAACTTTCGAACATTATACGATAATGGAACAAAATTTTAGCATTAGCTTAATTTGATAATCCCCTAGTAACAGGAAAAAGATTGACTTTGTAAGTTACTCAGTGGCATGAGTACGGATTGTACTGTAAGGTTTTTCGAACAAAATTGTGGTACGCCTCTGGTAAAAACACTTTTTTTATGATCCACTTTTTATTTTAAACAAAATTACCCTCTTGCGTTTTATTTCTAGCTCTTGTAATTTTTCCGTAAATAAAACTAGTAAATACCATTTTTTTCCACTGCTAACATTGGAAAATAAAAGTAACAAAAACATTGAAGTATATGCTTTGACTCAGCTACCGAACATGGTCAAATAGGCATTGAAAAAAGACTTTTGTATTGAAAATGATATTAAAAAACTACATTTTTTGAAATATTTTAGCGCTCTGTAGCTTTGAAAAGAAAACCCGTAGAGCATAACTTTATATGACAAATATTTTTTTTTTTAAATAAAAAATCCACCGTTTAATTTATTTCCAATTTTTACGTTACACCCTGTATAAAATAAGTTACTATAACACTAATTGTTAATGCGTCAGTAACTAACTAAAAAAGAAATTACCCTGTACTGTTTTATGTTTGTATGAAATTATTATTTAACTGAAAAGTAAAAAAAATGTAAAATTAAAACAAATTTAGCGAGCAGTTGTCACATGTTAAACTATGCTTTAAGTACGCCATCTATTAGTAGGAAGCTCAACTGAAGTCTCACTACCGTCTTTTTATTTAGTAATAGAAAAACAGAGCAGTTGTTTCCACCAACCACTTCAACAGTCTAGGACGTCAAAAGTTTTTAGTGAAATTGCTTATGAGGGTGCATATTATCTTTAATTATTGTAGATTACCTTTAATTATTGTAGAAGAGCATTCAGTGATAAAATGCTAAAAAATTTTTTGATATAATGATCATATTCGACGGGAGAAACTTGGTGGATATATACGAGGGTTGCCTTTTATATTTCGGAAATGAACGATCCTAGTGCTGCCATCTGACAACCGACGTTCCTATTATATTTCGATTGTTCCTATTGTTGTTCGACGTTTTGTGGTTATACTTACTCAGAATGCTTTGACATGCAGGTGCTATCTGTGGTGTTTACAGTGACTTGAAAAATTCATTTCGTTGTCAGCCAAAAAATGGTATTACATCCTGAACATTTCCATGCGATTATTTTTTTCAACTTTCGACGTGGATTATCTCAACAACAGAGCATCAACAAACTTAATTCGACTTTTGAGGATGAAGCACCATTAAAAACCACTGAATACAGGCTGTTACAAATTCGCTTCTCACTACAGGGATCTCCGAAACGGTAAGAGGTACGAAGTAGCTTTAATGGGGGCAAAGTTGCATAATCAGGGGACCAACATTATGCCTCTAAAAAATCAAGGCTAACATGATTAGTTTTCAAAATATTTGAAAAAAAAACGAAATTTTGGAGATCCGTTTTTGTTTCATTTCAGCCTTGTTTGAGGTGATATTGAAAAAGGAAGAAAACTTTCTCATGGCCACTTTTTGCCCTCTATCCAATGGCATAATCAATTTTTATATGTAACGTTTCATCTCTCCAGGACCATCATCAACTTTATTTTTCTAAATACGACCCTAGAATTTTTTTTACAGACATTCATAACCCCCAATACTGTACTGCCTCAGTCCAAACCAGATTCAGACGTTTTGTCTCGAAAAATTCATCTTCAGTGTATTCGTTCCAAATGTATCTAAATTTTTTATTTATATTTCTATGTTTATTGAATTATCATACATTGTAAGTGTCATTAGACCCTGTGAAATGTTGGATGGTCAGTTCTGAATTGTACCGCTGAAGATGTATCATTCTCCACCAGGACAATGCGAGTTCTCGCATATCGGCTCAAACAAAAGCCTTTTTTAGAACTGAAAGTCGAATTGATGAGTCATCCGTCGTGCAGACCTGATTTGGCACCCAGTGACTTTTTTTATTCCTGCACATCGAAAAATATATTCGAGATCGACGTTTTTCGAAGCCTGAAGCAGTTGATGCGTTCAGAATGCATGTTTTGGAGGCACCTCGATCGGAACGGAAAAAGTGGTTTGTAAATTGGTTCAAGCGCATGCAGAAGCGTATTTATCCTCATGGAGAATATTTTGAAAAACAATAAAGCCATATACTACGATTAATTTATTTTTGGTTCTCTGTTCCCGAAATATAAAATGCAACCCTCGTTATCACTTTTTTTGTGACTGTATTATTAGAAAACTCTCCTTTTCCCAGTTCCGTATAACTAGCGGCCGTGACCAATGATTTTTTTCAGCCGTGTGCGGGTCCATAAAAGATCCCGTTACAAAAGAAAAACTGCTGGAATACATAGACCGATTCAGGTTCAACAACGACTACGAGATTATGCCGCCGCCCACGAAGATGATACGAAGATGACCTTGTAGACGTAGTCGAATCGATATTGGAATTGTGTATAACTGCATTTTTTTATTTATTTAACAACAATGTTATTTTTATATGAATTTAAAAAAATATACACTTATGTTCATGTACTCACTTTTATTTGGTGATTAGATGTTTAAATAAAAAATTTACCTATTAACAATACTTTTAAATTAAATAATTCCTACAACTAACTAAAGCTATAAGGGTAAACAAATACTATAAAATTTCCTGCGATATACGTCGTCAAATTTACGATTACAATTTTTTTGATGGCCTGATGATGTCAGTAAACTTACCGAAACATTGACTATTTTAGTTTATATAATTTTAATACTTTTGTGAAGAATTTTTTGTCGAAATGTGTCTTCACAATAGAATTGACTAAAACACACAGAAAATTTTACGTTTTGCATCCACCCCGCCTTAACCTACGCATATACTTCATTTTTAACAGCCTTTTCCAATGGGTAGATATAAATATGGACACTTTTAATACTTAACGGCTTTTGATGTAATTATTTTGATCGCTGATCTGCCAGAGACCGTCAAGTTTTCTCACCCGTTGCTCTTTCAACAGTTTTATCAGATGGTGGTTGACGTTGGCTTCGGCGGCTTTGGTTAGCTTTTCAGGTAAGTCGACGTAGATCAATTTGACCAAATCAGGCTCGCCGAAAGTCTGTTCTCTGTTGTTCGTGAGGACGTCCATGATTTGCTGCTCTCTCTCCATTCGATGGGCGACGTAGAACTGGATTTTTTCCATTGGATTCTGTAAAAAAGATATTTTCCTAAGTTTCGACTCATTACCAAAAAATTGCTTATGTAGAATGATGGTTTTATATAAAACGTACCTGAATAACATTTCCGTGGCCCGGGTATATAACACTGGGTTGGAGGTTGGCAATTTCTTGCAGAGAATTCATGTAATCGTACAAATCTTCAAAAACGGCTGTTCCTTCGCCCAGAATACAATCCCCGCTGAAAACGGCATTGTCCTCGAGGAGATGAAGGACAATGTGGTCTTCTGTATGACCTGGAGTGTGGACAATTTTTAAAGTTGCACCTTCGACTGTGAACTCTTGACCGTCCTTTAAAGATTCTATCGTCACATTTTTGGGTATGTCTTCTTCAGCTCTTGGGTATTTCCACACTTGGCAAAATTCTGAGAAAGAATATAAAATATTTAAAATCATAGCAAGTAAAAAAAAAATTAAGTTTTCAACTATTCTTCCGTCCACAAATTTAATAACAACTGTTTATCAGATTCGTAGCAGGTTGACCACAAAATAACGAATTTTTAAAGAAGTTGCCTGTTTAAAATCGAATAATATGGTCGAAAACTGGCATAAGCAATTTGTTTTGGGCAGATAAAATAACATTAAATATCACAAAAGCAGATATTGCTGGGTATATCATTAATGTTTTTCTATTAGAGGCTGCTACTGAGTCAAGGTAATCCTAAGATCAACAGAGAACTTTGATTAACCGCCCTTGAGATATTTAATGCATAATTAGACATCCTTATCTTTATATTTCCAATTATAAATCAAGTACACTTACTTGTTTTTTCTTTAAATTCTTCCAGTATATCTGTAAGACCTCCAATGTGGTCATGATGCCAGTGGGAAATAAAAATGTGGGCCAAATCTATACCTTCGTAATTTAGGACACTTCTTAAGTGGTTGATGTATTGGGGCACATCGGAATCACCTGTATCAATTAAAATCCTCCTGAAAAAATAAAAATTATTGTGTTTTCGATGAAACTATTCACGTTTAAGTAAATTAATAATAATTCTTTTATGTATTGTATTTTGAGGTTATGTATCTTAAGACCGGTTTGCAAGCACATCTTTTTAACGTCAGTAATTTCGAGTTTCAATAAAAATACATTTATTCCTGATTAAAAAGTAAATGCTTTTGAAATTTTTGCTTCTAAATCTAAACGTAACATCGACTTTGTTAAATTTTGGTAATTATTTTTATATTTTACAACTACTTTTGTAGAAAACTAATAGTGAACAATTTGAACTACTATTAAACCTGGCTTTACCAACAAAAATGAGAATTTAACTGCGTAGTTCATTACGTCACAATTAATTATTGCATCTTTCATTAAAATAAATGTAATACATACATATGTTTTCTTACCTTTTTCCGGTTCCTACAATATATGTGTTGGTTCCCTGAAGGGTCATAGTTCCGGGATTACATCCCAAAACTCTAATAATTCTTGATGAAATTCTAGTCACAGCTGGTATAACTGCCGCCATAATCACAATTAATTTTTTTTTAAAATCGCCAGGGACAACTGTCAGATCAGTCCAAATATAAAGTACTGGAAGGAAATATGTAATTAACAATAATAATAATATAGTAATATGTAATATGTAATAATAATTATGTACTTGTTATGGAAAATTCCTGAAGCAAAACCCATTATTCAAATATATGCATCTATTTTTGAGTTCATTGAGGCAAGCAAATTATGAAAATTAGTAGGTAGGAACAGTAACGTAATTACAGTATATATTTGAAATGCTTTGTTACTACAAATTGTTTAAATAGATTATGAGAGTTAAAAAAGTACTAGGTAGGTACTCCTGTTGAAGTAAAAGTGGCAGATTAAACGTCATCATCTATAGATTATAATTTACCTTTTAGAAAGCAAAGTTACAAAATAGGTAGTTGTTGCGGTACATCGGTATAAAAATGAGAATAATTATTTTATTAACTGTTTTCGTTACATTTATTAGTTGCGACGACGTCGATAAGGTAAGTAAATATTCACAACTTTCACGTTCTATTTATCAATTTGTAAATAAACAAACATTTAATTAACTGTAAATAAATAAATACCTTTGCCACGTTTAAAGTTGCTTCGTAAAGTCAGAATCTCACTAAACTCTTGTGAAATAATACTCGCTACTTATATAGTGCTTCATGTTGCTTATCAGTAAGCTCTAGTCTTAATAAAGTACGTATTTTTGATAAGCAGTCAGAGGGCATTTTTAACATGCTTAATTATACATTTTAATCAACTTAACGATTAACGGGTGGCATTAATGAAAGGTCAGATGTTTTTTTTAAGTCCAGAATACTCATTGTTGATATACAATTTAGTAATAAGATTGTACATTTTTCATGTTTTAGCTTGTGTTACTGGTGCATTTCATATTTAATCTTGTGTAATCTGTAAGTTTACACTATAACTACCTACATGAATTGTGAAAGATAACTTATTCTTCTTATTTAGGTTAAAAGGTTATATTTATATTCATTTTCGTAGAAATCATATAAAAGTTTATAACAAATCACATGCAAATTTTGTATGTTGTGTTTAATTAAAAAATATATATTACAATTTTCTTGTTTGACATTATTTAATCTTTAATGCATATATATCTTTAATGCAATGTGATCTTAACCTAACCGTTTCTCATGTTTACCATAAACTTTATATTATAATAATAAGAAGCTGTAACCATGTGTTGAAAGTGTAGACGCTGTAGAAAGAACGATAGTTTGGGTACTCGCTTTCTCTCTCTCTCTAATCGTTGCGATAGTCAATCACGTACCGGTGCGAGAGAGAAAGATGGTACCCAAACTTATTCTTTCCTTCTATGTCACTCGGCTGCCGTAAGTTTGCTTCCTCCGTGTAGTATATGCTCTTAGATTGTAAGAGATTTGGGAAATTATAATTAAATTAGCGATAACGTTTTCAAATTAAATATTTGTATACATATAGTAGTACTACTAGTATTTACGTTATTTATGTTAACTATTTTTATTCGTATCGAATATATGTAATTAATGAGGAGCCATATCATAATATTTTTAAACTTAAATAGATTGTTCTTGAATAGCTGAAACTTCTTAAAACGCATAACGTTTATGGTTTATGTAAAGTACATTTTTTTATAAAACATAATTACCTTTCTACATTTGTAAAATGAAAAGTGAAAAGTTGAAAAGTTGAAAAGTACTTTCAAAAAAGGTCCCTGGTCACTTGTTGAGAGAATAATTGAAACATATTTCATTTACCAAGAAAACATTTTATAATTTATATGAAATTTCATAGAATAGATAAGGGTCAATATCACAATTATATATTTTTTTAAATTCTTAAGTATGCAGTTTTGATATATTTAATCATTGTTAGATTTGTATAGCAGTTTTAAATATAATAGCGTGTTAGGGTCATAGATAAAAGGGTCAAGGTAAACCATAATCAGTAGTTTTAGCCCTCTAGGATATCTTAGGCCCACAGCTCACATTATCGGTCACCCGAGAGTTTGAATAACGGCCTGATGATTAAACAAACGAGAAATGTCATGAAGTTATCTAATATTTGATTTAGTTGAATAACATCGTATTTATTTATAGTTTTTTTCTGCTTTTATTTTAAGTAATGCGCAACATCTTAAAGCTTCCGATACAGGAAGTGGAATTTCGGCAAAATTCTATTGAAAACGTAAAGCGCACTGATCTAAAATTAAAGCGACAGTAATATTTTGCAACTTTCACTTATGATACCTTTGTGTGTTTATAATTATACAATTTAAGAGTATTGAGAACAGCAGTCCAGTTACAATAATGTTATCAAAATGTATATAAAACTAAAATTAAATATGTAAACATAATCACTAATTAAAAAATTAGAGCAACGTTTCTTTCTATCTAAATTAGTTTTTTTTTTTAATGAATTTGAAACGAGTCCAGTTTGCACCAGATTAAATAATAAGGTCAGATTATTCGCCCCGAATGCTGCTTTAGCATATTATTGTTGCATAATTATAATTACTTTTTATAAATATTGACGGAATATGTGTATTTAATTAGTATTTACGCACAAAATGTCTAGGTATATCCCTCGCGAAATTCTAACAAAAACTACCCCTTTGCGTACCACCCTGCTGCATTTCCATTTATTGATTTCTCGTTTTATTACAAACGCAGATGTCATGTACGTTTTATTTAATAGTGAGAGTGCTGAAAAGGTACCACCATCTTCTTAAATAGGTACAAAGATGAAGGTAGGATATTATGTTACATCTCTATAGAAAATATTTTGAATTCGTGCTTTGGTACTCAGAAAAAGTAATTAACGCTTGTTATTCTTCATTTCTAGGTTATAGCACGCTTTATAAACAAAGAGTACTCCAAAATATTTGTTTATTTTGATTCTGGAGTTATCGGTAGTGTCCTAAAATATAAATATAAACATTTCATCATATTTTAATTTTTGTGGGAGTATCACATATATTATATAATCCATAAAACAGTATTTTTATAATTTAAACGGTTTTTTTATCTATTTCTTATCAGCACATACACTGAAATAAATGTTTTGTATATTTAGTGTGTACTTAATTAATTTTTCTAAACGTTTTTATGTTTAAAATTGTATTTAAAAAATAGTGACTCAAAAATGGAATCTTCTCTCTTTCAAATATGATTACAAAAGCGATCAGAAAATGCTTAGTGGTGTTAAAATTCTGAGGTTCTTAAATGACAGTATCTTCGTAGATAATTTTCTAATATTTTATTTTGTTATTGAAAAATCGTTGCAGTTAACAAAATTATTCGCAAACCACATAAGACCTTAAAAAACCTTGAACAACCGTATTTCTAGGCATTTAAGGATAATGAAGTGACTCCGGATGTCATCAGTACAGTTCCAGACGTACTTCTAGAAGTGGAGTACGCCAAAACCGGCAAAAGGGTAAATTTAGGCAACGAACTGGCGCCCAAGGATGTGAAGGATATCCCTGAAGTGAAGTACAACGCAGAACCAGACAGTTTTTACACTCTGATCCTGACTGATCCCGATGCTCCTAGCAGGAAGAACCCAACGCGTAGAGAGTGGAATCATTGGTTGGTGAGTAATCGTGATATTTGTTTAATTATTATTACTGCGTATCATTTTATGTAGGAATCTAAGCAATGTTGTGTATACAATTGTTTTTGAGACATCTTCATTTGATAACGTTAATTGTAACACGATGTTGATCCACGACAGTGTCTGATTCATCAGTTTGTTTATTTCGTAGAGGAAATTGTAGTAAAATAAAACCCCCTTTGTTGTTCGTGAATGAGTTGAAGAACAATATCATATTAGAGTTTTTTCTGTAACTGGTTCCTTCATTAGTATCACAATAGAATCCACATCAAGTGCTACAATAGTTATATTGTTCATTATGTATTTTAAAGTTATCCAAACGAAGACTTCATCGGTTCAATTTGATAAAAATACACAAAATCTGTTATTATTTAAAAGAAATTAACTTTTATCTTCTTTCTATTCATACAACATCTAATTATAAAATTTAGAATAAGTTTACATAATTTCAATTTAACCGCAATGTTCTATATTACCTTTTCCTCTATATTTGTTTATTCCGAAAAAAAAACAGAAATGAAAAAAATAGATGCACACACCTACGCACACCTTTTAACACATTATCATCGATACATTTTTCTTCTGTTTAAGCAGCCAAAAAGTTGAGGTTTCATAAATCTTTTCGCAATATTACTACCCCAGATCTTATGTTTAGTACTACGGAGAATTTTGCATATAGTAGTAGTAGTAAAAGTACAATTTGGAAAAACCATGACTACGTGCTAGAGTTGTACCACCAATTTGGGATTTCTCCTTAGATAAAAATAATAATGTTTATACTTAATAATATAATTTTGGTGTAAATAAATATTGTTTGCTGATAATTAATTAAAAAGAGGAAGACTCCTTTTACAGATGTTGTCCTAAGGCTATTTAACTTTTTCCGAATTCTTAAATAAAGACTGAAGATTTTAGATCTCAGTGCAATAGTTATTTTTGTATCTAGTGCGCGAAATGGTGATCGAGAATTGAATTTTTTAACGAGGTGAAGCCGAGTTAAAAAATTATTCGAGACCACCAAAGTAGTTCGCGCACGTGATGCAAACAATATTTTTTCTACAAACGTCAAAATCTATCTCTTAAAAATATTATAAATAAGTAAAATGCCTAATTTATTATAGAAAATAGTGTTGAGCTGGCTTAAAATGTCTTTCCTAATCAAATTTTCACTGTTACTATGGAAACAAAGTGGCTGTTGTTGACAACAATAATAATTATTTTAAAACCCCAATATCCCGAGCTGAACCTGAATTATCTGGTTTAGGAATAAATATTGGTTCGTGTACTGGTTGTACGATTAATGTTAATATTGTAAATAATAACTAAAGTTATTGTAAAATTCTATCATTATTTTAAAAGTATTTAATTCATTCATTTAAAAATAAATAATAATTTGGAGTTTTGCTTCATTTTTTCAAAGATTGAAATACAAAACTCTTATTAATTTACATGCAGTGTGCGAAATACTTCGCACCCTAGTGCGCGAAGTATTTCGCTCACGGTGTCATGGTAACGTAAGAATCCGAAAAAAGTGTCACTTCGCATATTGTTGTCAATGCGCAAACCTTGTCATTTTTTGACGTTTGTAGAAAAAAATATTTTTGGTTGATGACTATTACTGAACAAAAACAATTATTTGTATATTTTATTTTTACGTATGCCATCCGACGATCAAAACTAATTAATGGATGGAAAAGAACAACATAAAATTACGTATACTTACATAAAAAAGGTAAATGTATTAATATAGAAAAAGAGAATACAACAGTCATAACCAGAAATAAAAATTTTACATTTTAGAGTTCCAAGAAATGGAACCAAGATTTATTTAAGATTCTCGTTGAATATATTTGATATGTTCTAAAAAATTAATTTAACGTGAAATGTCACACCAAGATCTATCGACTTAGTGGCGAATTACACCTGGAGAAGTTAAAAGGTAATAAACTGCTTGTAATACACCAATGAAGAATTTTATTTATTTCTGATTGAAACAAAACGCAACACTTAGATCTATCACAGACAAATACAACTTAGGATCATCGGCATATAAAGGTACTCGTCACAGTTTATAGTCGAAGTGATGTCGTTTATAAAGATTAGAAACAATGAGGGACCGAAGACTGACCCTTGACACCAGAAAGTAGCATTGTCATCTATCGATTGGAATGTACGATAGTCCATTGTCAGTTTCTTTCGGTGGTAAATAAGAAGTAAAAAATTGAAGAAATTAATAGTTAAACTTACATTGAATAGTTTTGACAGTAGTATATTATGGTCCAACTGATGAAAGCTTTATGAAAATGTACAAACGACATCCACCTGACCACTACTCAAATTCTTAGAAATATATGACGTCAGATATATCAAGTTGGCAAAAGAGTCTCATCACGATGTTTTTTTTTTCAGTAACATTTAATTCTCCTATAATTTCATCCATTAAAGGAAATAATAATTAATTTTGCGGCCTTTTCTGCTCGAAGTGCTACAATTTCTGAGGGTATCAATGTTACTGAACCTTATCTAACCTTCTCATTAAAATTAGTAAAAATAATAGAAGAGAATGACGTCAATATTTCTATCGACACTTTAGTGATACAGGCTGTAGATATGCAGAACCCTGAATTCGTAGATTTGGTCTTTTATCTTCTGAGTTTGGAAAAAAATTAGCGCTGTCGTAAATTTATAATATTATCTTTTATGTCTCCTACTTTGGATTGACTTTCCCTATTGCTGCTGTCAGTGTACAGAAATATATATAAATATAATAAAAGACAATGGGACTGAAATTTGGGGGGAAACAGGCAAGTAATTTTATTTGAATAGGTATTTTAAATATATTGCAGACAGGTTACGTCATATTTTCTGGAAAAACGAAAACTTCTTTCCATGGGTTATGTGCTCTACTGATGAAATATATCTTCTTTTTTATATAATAAATGCATTTTGTACAAATATATTAATTCATTTTCTGTAATGCGAAAACTCCTATGAATAGATCGTTGGTCTAAAATAACCCTAGGAACAAGCTCTATTTCAGTGACAAAGTAGGCAGAAGATTTATACGAGGAAACGAATAATATGATAAAATAATTTTAATGCGCCTTTCATTTCACATAGTGATCCGATAATATTATTACAAGCGTCCATTTCTATATTTGCGTATCGAATACAAAAAGAGATATGACTGAGGCTACAAGGTTTGATTTGCTCTGTCAGCTTCCAGTCGAGGTGTGTCAGTGCATGTCATAAGCGTACAAGTGGGAAATAGATTATATTTATTTCCAATTTTAGTTGTTAAAAGTAGAATCGTATGCGCTTCTTAGTGGCCAACCTGATAATCGGGGGACTCGTAAATGATCGAATTTAACAGATCAAGAACGTTGTACGATAAACAATTGTAAAAGGGCATTCGAACACAAGATAAAAATGTCCGTCAGGCTAGGATTGTTTATCGTGCATTAAAAAGTAATAAAAATGTAAAGCCAATAAGCAGATTGTATTCTTGGTCGCACGAAATGACGACACAAGGCGTACATGATCACGTGACAAACCTTAAATTTTTATTGCAGCACTGACTGAACTTTGTTTCATGTTCTGTGTCGTGCAGTGGACGAAGCGGATCTCGAGTATCTGGTTTTACCCATGTCCATGTTGAGAATGAGTCACTGTCTACTATTTTGGGACTTGAGTATAATGTAATTATGACAAAAAATAAAAAAAAAAAACATGTATTCATTTTATGAAGACAATGTGTCATATGCTTAAATTAGTTTTGTAGAATTTTATGATTTCAAACATTTTAAAACTGATGATTGACATCGAACCAAATCAGTGTTAATTTTCAGGTTGTTAACATCCCAGGATCCAACATTTCCGAAGGCGAAACCATCACGGAATACGTGGGATCGGCACCACCAAAAGGTTCAGGACTTCACCGCTACGTCTTCGTCTTGTTCAAGCAACCAGGTAAGCTCACTTTCGACGAGCCCCAGCATAGCAAAACGGACGGCAAGCGCGGCAACTTCTCCACGGAGAAGCTGAGGAAGAAGTACAACTTGGGCAAGCCCCTCGCTGGTAACTTCTTCCAAGCCCAGTTTGATGATTCTGTGCCTGCCGCTCACAAACAGCTTGGATTTTAAGTGGCGAATAGGCTGAAATGCCATCGAATTTCCACAGTTAAAATTCTTAATACTCCCATTGACCATTAATATAAGCTCTATGGTCAAAAAAATATAATACTTTATAAATATTCTATATATTTTTATTAAAATATTATCCACATGTGACGATTACCTATTGCACTTTTTTTTGTAAATTTGGAACATTTTAATAAAGGATTTGTAAAATCGTTTTCCTCTTTCTGCACGACGACCACATTACAACTACAAGAATAACAATGATATAATTGTTTTCAAGACAAAGCAACAAAAAAGTAAGAGTAACAAAATATTATCTATATCGTGTACGACTGAATTAACGAGAATGTGGATGTATGTGTAGATTTGCTGGAGTATACGTATTTGTCATATGCCGTATCGTGTGGATGGTGCATATCGATTCATTCAAAAACATGTTTCCGTTTGCCAAATATTTGTCAAGTGAATGCGATTCAGTATTATGTTGGCTCAAGGGAAATAGAACACATCAAAGTAAACGAATCTAATCGAATGTACAAACATCACCATCACTTTCAGGTAAGCGGTTGATATATGGACAATTACTTACAAAAAAATATATTAAAATTTTAAAACCTTAAAGCGTTTATTTGACTCTTATTGACTTTTTGTTTGCGTTTTTTTTAGATTAAACTTAAAAACGTTAAGGTCATTAATGTTGATAATAATTGTTCCCGAGAAAAAAAAATGATTTAGCAGATATTGACGAATTCACAAGACATAATTTTCTTTTATGTTAAAATTTAAAAAAAATGAAGATTTTGCACTTTAAATAGTTTTTTTAGTAGTCGTGGATCCCCTTTTTGTCCAAAAACTGTTACACTTCTAAGCTTTCAAAGATTATGAGGTTCTTAGGAATATTGGTTATACTATACGAAATATGGACTAAAAAATAACAAAGACTGAAAAAAGTGCCAATAGTAATAAAGAAAACAAGAAAGAGAAAAAGAAATGATTTGTTAAGGAATGTACAACAGAGCTTGAAGCTAAACGAAAAAATGAGACTAAGAATGTTACAATAAGAAGCAGAGGAAATAAAAAACAACAAGGACTGAAAACTAAAATGGAAGGAAAAAAGGAAAATATACGAAAATGCATTGGAAAGAATAGAAGAATGTAATAGAAATAAAAAGATTAGAAACCCCCATCATGGAGTGAAGAAGGAAAGGAAGATATATCATCCCAAAGCAAATTTATGTAAAGCTAAAGATGGAAAATCATTTTTGGAGAAGGGGAAATCATGGGAGGAATATTTCATCAACTACTGGATGAAGAAGAGAACAAGGGAACGAAAACATAGGAATAACGGAGAAAAAGAAAATGTGATATCAGCGCCCAGCTAAGAGGATATTAAAGAAATAGTTTCAAAATTGATAAATGAGCCCAGAATGTGACAATATAACAGTGGAATTATTGAAGCATAGAAGATAAGAACCAACTACAGGAGCAGATGCAAAAAAATTAGAAAAAAGATTGCCAAAGGAAGGGACAAAGGCGATAATCTGTCTAACACATAAAAAAGGAGACAAAGGGTAGTATCAGAATTACAGGGATATAAGCTTTGTTAAAATACTGGTAAACTATATAAAAAAATAAACTGATACTGGAATACCACAATTGTTACATATGCCAGTGAAACATGGTGGAACAGATGACGCTGGAGGTGTGGAAGAAGAAAATATTAAGGAAAATATTTTAAGGAAAGAGAAGAGATTAAGGATGAGTTAGAAGAATAAGTAAGGAATTTATATAATAAAACTTACATAGTAGGTATCATAAAGAGGACAACGATTAGGTGGTTAGGACATATCGAAAGAATGCCAAAACGAGAATACCTAAAATGCCAATGACTCTTACAACTGGTGGCGAGCAAAGCAGAACAAAATCTAAAGCAAGGTGGAAAACAAAGGTCGAAGAAGTTTGTAGCATCGTTGCTAATATGCTAATGCTAATTTTTGAATTAATACAGTTGCAAAATGATTTTGTTTGCGAATAAATCTAGCCAGATATTGAATCTAATATTTTGAGTGCCGTAATCGTTCATAATATTCCATACTAAAGAGCTTGATAAAAATGCGATTAAATTGAGTGAGCACAAACCAACGTAGATAACATTAATGTATTTGTTTTTGGCTGTACCAAACCATCAGAGATAGCTGCCACTTGTGTTGAAAAAATTCGATTTAATCATATTTATACATCTACATAATGGAGGTGAGTATTTTATATTTTTTTAATTAACTATTTTATTTCCCATATCATACTTGGTAGTAATAAATAATAATTTAGAATAAGTTAATGAATGCTTCTCAAATGTCTCTGTCTTTCATCTTCTTTGATCATCTCGGTGATCTTCTCTAGAATATGTACTTTAATGTAGACCTCCTCCCTCTACCTTTTTAAGTATGTACACATCAGAAAACTGATGTGCACATGCCAATAATAATTGGTACTATAAAATCATAGTCAATTTATTGAACTAATGTTTCAGTTTTTAAAAGACACTGTACTGAAACTGGTTAATCCATTATTAAAATTATTTGACAAACAAAATACTTTCCAAAATAATGTTTGAATTAACCCGGTCGATATAATTTTCTCTTGTATAAATCGTTTCATGTTTTTTTTTAAATCAGATTTCGAATTTATAATCAGCTTAATTTATTATCAGTGTTAGTGATTCAATTTTTCTCAGCCACTTAGGGTCTTATATAAACAATTAATTCCGTGTCATGATAATCTCATCTACCAGTACATCAAAACATAAAAAATAAACCTTATCTTTGGAAAGAAATCACGAATCTTAATCTGACATACACACTGCATAGGTCCACATTGTTCAACTCTGAATTTGTATATATCTTTAAGTTTGGAATAATGTGTAGATAAAATTTAATACACTTTATTTCATATCGAGGCCTTTAAGACCAACGAAATAGTTCCCGACGTTATTAGCACAGTTCCTGCCAAAGTCCTATCTGTGAGATTCAAATCAGGAAAGCAAGTCAACCTAGGTGAAGAAATCCAGCCGAAATATGTTACTGAGTCGCCTGAAGTACAATATGACTCGGATCCTAACAGCTTTTATACGTTAGTTTTTACTGATCCAGACGCACCCAGTAGAAAGAATCCTATTCGCAGGGAATGGCATCACTGGCTGGTAAGTTGAAAAGCAAAATGAAAACTAGTTAGAAAATGTATCATTTGTGACAACCATTCACAAAATCTAACCCGTAAAGGTGGTACTACTGGTAACATTTAAACATCGTGTAATATGCGCCACACTATTGATAGAGATGCTTCAGAAACTTGGCGAATAATTTCCCTTGCAGTTGTAGATAATATATTTCCATAATATTTAAAATTCTTTCCTTAGCTAATTTTTTGGGTACATCATTTGTTTTTAAAAAATTATTTCACTTTAACTCAGATGCAAATGTTAAACTTATTTAGCCAAATGATTTGACAACAAAAAAATACTAAGTTCAATAAAAAAATTCTTTGCCCTCTCCTGAACAGTTTGCATATTGGTACTTAGATCAGAATTTACATTTATTAATTTCAGGTAGTGAATATCCCAGGCTCCAAAGTCTCAGAAGGCGAAGTTTTAAGCGAATACATAGGTTCAGCACCTCCGCAAGGTTCCGAGTTGCACCGTTACACTTTCATTCTCTACAAACAACCCCAAAAGTTGTCGTTCGATGAACCTCGCCACAGCAACACTGATCCTGCTCGTGGCAACTTCTCCACGGAGAAGTTCGCTCAGAAGTACAACTTAGGAAGTCCTGTTGCTGGCAACTTCTACTTTGCGCAATGGGATGAATCCGTGCCAATCTTGAGGAAGAAACTTGGCTTTGATTAGTTTAAACTGTAGTGTAATGTCATTAGAGTAGTTATTCAAATATAATTAGTTCTGATGTAGAATGTTTCTTCAAAAATATCAACACTTTGATCATTTCTGACACTCTGTGCCTTCGAAATGAGGAGTGATTCTTAAACGCTAGTCTTGTTAACAAACTTAGGCAATAAAATGTAGAGGCTGATCCAGACTGATTTTTGGCCAAAACAGAAATAGTAGATAGGGAACTTTAAGCAGGAATCCTTATGGATTCTATCTGGGTAAGTTTACCACCTTAAGAGCTATGACGCCAATTTTGTATTTTCCACTACTGTATCCATAATGTTTTCGTCATTTTGTGGATCTAGTCGTACACGTGCACAAGATGCACAGGATCGACTTACGTTTATGGTTAATTTCCTTGTGGATGCACCTCATGTGAACGAAGTATTTTGAGGAGCAGCACTTCCAGTCTTCATATTATTCGTTTGAAAAATGGATACGTCACAGATATTTCTTGGTCCGTATTTTATGACGCTACACGACATCAACGCAACATTCAAACGACATGAAACCTCTATGTTGCTACCGTATATTTAATTAATTTACAAATTTACACGGCACTATGACATGAAAGTCGAAATTTCTTTAGACTAAAAAAATATATGTTGTCGCAACATTGAAGCGACATATTTTGATGTTTTGTTGATATGGGTCTATTTTAATAAGCAACCAAAAACTTACAAGTAACAATAACTTTTGTTTGTTGGTTATGTTCAACTAGGGCTACTAAATTTTCATCATCGTGAATCTAGACTGGAGGGTTAATTTTTGAACATTTTTCAATTTGTATTGTGCATCGTTAATCGTTTATTTAATATCATTTATGGTTATTACAACATTAGGGTTTAAAATCGTTATGTATGTATAGTCCTTCCGATCTCAATTGAAGAACCAAAAGGTTAGCAGTATGTATCAGGTTCGGTCGCTGAGGCAGCAACTCGGCATTGAAATATTTGAAAAACTTGTTCCCATATTTATTTAGCCATACCTATACCCATATACAGGTCTGGTCGCCCAGTTGAAGAATGAGCGCGCGGGCAAACGCGGCACAAACACAGCCGCACTGGGAGACCTGGTCATAAATTCAGTTGTCAGCAAATAACCTAGCAGTGCAGTGCAGCAATGCGGAATTTGATGCGATTCAGGTAATTTTAATTAATTATTCATATTACAATTGGGAAAGGGAGAAATAAGAGGGATATTTTGTTTACTAATATTATTACAACATGGCATTTTGGAGACTTTTTGAAACGGAACAAAACAAAATTTACCATCATATAATAAAATTGTTTAGGGACTTAAATAATTATAATATGTTGATCAAATGAAATATAATAGAAATTTTCTATATACTTACAAATTATTATAATTTTTCACCTTTAGCAGAAAACTTTTTTTAAAGACGCCTATGAAACTAATTAAATTTTATTGCTAGGCGTTTTTTTACATGTTCAACTGACTTCGGAAAGACTATAACATTTTTTCCTATTTTTAGATCCACCTAGATGAAAATTAAAATTGATTTTGCAATTATATGCAGAAAATGTGAAAATGACTGAGGCTTTACATTAATTAAAAAAAAATGAAATATGAAAATAATAATTTACCGGAATTTTAAAGAAAAACGGGGTTAGAATATATCAATTGAGAACAAGAGGGAACTTTTTTAATTGTCTTTAAGCTGAATCTATTTAATTTATAAAAAAAAAACCGAGATTAGAAAAGTTATGATCAATTTCCTTGTCAATAAAGGTCATTAAGGCCGTTTTGTAAATAGTAAGTACACTCAGTTTTAAAAAATCGCTTAACTAAAAAAAGACAGCAAGAAATTTAATGAAGATTAACTTTGAGGTTATGTAACTAATTTTGAATTTTCTAAAAAGTGGCATAGGAACATTATTTTTTGAGTAAAATTGCACCCTAAATTTTTGCTCATAATTTCCGGATACCCTTATATGGAATTAAATATCACCTACCAGCTTGTTTTTATTTTTATTACAATTTACAGTAGTTATACCTAATGGTTTTCTCCTAAACAGCATTATCTCAAAACATCAGGGTAAACATATAAAAAAAATAGGAATATAACTGTGTTCTTGAAAACATTACGTTACAAAATAATTCATTTGTTTCGAAAAACAATAAATAGGATAATAAATAATATTTAAAAACAAACGGTTGTTGATTGTTGGTAAAGATTCCGAAAGACATGTTCACTTTGTGTAATATGCTACTCATACGAGTTAAATGCAGCCAAATAACCTTCTAAATTGATTGCTGATTGGTGGACTTTATTAACAACAAATTATTTACCCAGAATCGGAGATCAGTACCGATTAAAGAATAATAAGAAACAAATAACAGGAAAGAAATATTTACCGAAAAGGAATATTCGCCTGGTATTCACAGTATTATCTAATTTGTCGACCAACTATAACTGTAGCAGATTATCTATTGAATTCTAAGTAATTAATTTGCAAATAATTCGTAATATCGTTGATGAAAACAATATACAATATGCAAATATTTACATACATAATACTATAAACAATATAAACAGAGATGTTGTCTTATGTGCTTTATTGTTATGTTACTAATCTTGTTATTATGTCTGGTCGTTTTTTCCATTGAGGCTTGTTTTATTTCCTGAAGGATAAGTACGCGAATGGAATAATAAATTGAAGTACTGGTGAACTAAAGATCTGGCCTTGTGTCTTGTGTATAATTTACTTGACACATTGTTAGTGTGCAAAATTTAATAATGATAATTCCAAATTTATTGTGCAATAAAATAACATTTAATAATCATTTTGCAACAATTCTCTGTGAAAAAAAACTACTGGCAAAGTACTTCTATTATAATCGCAATGACAAGATTAAAAGTGTGTTATACAGAATGATTTAACTTCAAACTCTGAAATTCTGGAATCAACTTGTTAGGAGACTTTTACAGGGTGGCCAAATGAAAACCCAACAGTCATTTTNTATAAATTATTATATTTTTTCACCTTTAGCAGAAAACTTTTTTTAAAGACGCCTATGAAACTAATTAAATTTTATTGCTAGGCGTTTTTTTACATGTTCAACTGACTTCGGAAAGACTATAACATTTTTTCCTATTTTTAGATCCACCTAGATGAAAATTAAAATTGATTTTGCAATTATATGCAGAAAATGTGAAAATGACTGAGGCTTTACATTAATTAAAAAAAAATGAAATATGAAAATAATAATTTACCGGAATTTTAAAGAAAAACGGGGTTAGAATATATCAATTGAGAACAAGAGGGAACTTTTTTAATTGTCTTTAAGCTGAATCTATTTAATTTATAAAAAAAAAACCGAGATTAGAAAAGTTATGATCAATTTCCTTGTCAATAAAGGTCATTAAGGCCGTTTTGTAAATAGTAAGTACACTCAGTTTTAAAAAATCGCTTAACTAAAAAAAGACAGCAAGAAATTTAATGAAGATTAACTTTGAGGTTATGTAACTAATTTTGAATTTTCTAAAAAGTGTCATAGGAACTTATTATTTTTTGAGTAAAATTGCACCCTAAATTTTTGCTCATAATTTCCGGATACCCTTATATGGAATTAAATATCACCTACCAGCTTGTTTTTATTTTTATTACAATTTACAGTAGTTATACCTAATGGTTTTCTCCTAAACAGCATTATCTCAAAACATCAGGGTAAACATATAAAAAAAATAGGAATATAACTGTGTTCTTGAAAACATTACGTTACAAAATAATTCATTTGTTTCGAAAAACAATAAATAGGATAATAAATAATATTTAAAAACAAACGGTTGTTGATTGTTGGTAAAGATTCCGAAAGACATGTTCACTTTGTGTAATATGCTACTCATACGAGTTAAATGCAGCCAAATAACCTTCTAAATTGATTGCTGATTGGTGGACTTTATTAACAACAAATTATTTACCCAGAATCGGAGATCAGTACCGATTAAAGAATAATAAGAAACAAATAACAGGAAAGAAATATTTACCGAAAAGGAATATTCGCCTGGTATTCACAGTATTATCTAATTTGTCGACCAACTATAACTGTAGCAGATTATCTATTGAATTCTAAGTAATTAATTTGCAAATAATTCGTAATATCGTTGATGAAAACAATATACAATATGCAAATATTTACATACATAATACTATAAACAATATAAACAGAGATGTTGTCTTATGTGCTTTATTGTTATGTTACTAATCTTGTTATTATGTCTGGTCGTTTTTTCCATTGAGGCTTGTTTTATTTCCTGAAGGATAAGTACGCGAATGGAATAATAAATTGAAGTACTGGTGAACTAAAGATCTGGCCTTGTGTCTTGTGTATAATTTACTTGACACATTGTTAGTGTGCAAAATTTAATAATGATAATTCCAAATTTATTGTGCAATAAAATAACATTTAATAATCATTTTGCAACAATTCTCTGTGAAAAAAAACTACTGGCAAAGTACTTCTATTATAATCGCAATGACAAGATTAAAAGTGTGTTATACAGAATGATTTAACTTCAAACTCTGAAATTCTGGAATCAACTTGTTAGGAGACTTATACAGAGTGGCCAAATGAAAACCAAACAGAGTCATTTTCAGGAACTGCGTCAAGATTGTAGCAAAACGCTCAGACCCGTCGATTTTAGATTAAAGGGGGACATTCTTTGCTGGTATTTTTGACTCCGCCACTTTCACCCCCAAGCAAGGGGTAAGCATCACCCTAAAATATTTAAATGGAATGGGGGTTGAGTAATATTTCTTTTGAAAGCTCATACAATTCTCTTTACAACAGACTTTAAATTTTATAATTTCGCCCAATACTTTGAAAAATATTTACATTTTAAAATTTAAATTATCTTTAGTTGCTTACTTACTACTTAGTTGATTAAATGTTCAAACTGATGACCGCCCGCTTCCACACAAGAATAAAGATTTTGTTCGAAACGTTCGCCCACATTCCGAAACATTTCCGGAGTGATTCGACGGCATTCGTCGACGATTCTTTGACGCAAATCT